CAATAAATATTGAGGGTATTATTTGAATGCTGGTGACATAATGATCGCTGCTTCACTGCCAATTATCAAATAAAAATGATATTGCTCTTATCCATATCTCATCATATAACCTACTCTGTCCACTTTATCAGCAAACTGTGGTCTAGCAAGCATGCTCCAAAACCAGATTGGGCAAGTTTGCTATTTATCACAACCATTTTAGTGACAAAACCATCTCTAGAGTTGAAAAGTCGATGGAAACACATTGAACTTCAGCTTTTTATTCGGTACATGGAAACTTCAGCGCAAAAGTGCTTTTTATGTGCACTAAGTCATCATACCCAGCATTTTAGTCAGTTTGATGGAAACACCTCTGGTGGGAAAATGTGCATATTCTTTAATGCATATTTTAGAATATTTGCATGAAAATCTGTCGCCAATTGGAAGGAAACCTACCTAATGATGCTATCCCAGATCACATGTTCTGGTCTGCTGTTAGTTGTGTGGAAACCCTACATGACCCACTGGGAAATGGGTGCCAGGACTGCCCCTGCTCTTGTACGGAGGGACGGGTTTCTGTACTGGCTCAGATATTTTCTTCCTTTCGAGAAAGCTTTTAGCAAGTATGGTGGATGCGTAACCAGGTCAGCACAGGGAAGCTTGGCTTGGATTGGCTCGACTCAGTAGTGTGAAGTAGTGTAATGAGCTCATAGAAGATGGAAGGAACATGTCAAATCACATTCAGGTCTTTGGAGTGGAGGCAACTGGCCTGATGACTAATCCCTATACAGTATAGTGTTAAGTGATGGTATATCTGGCTTCAGTGGATTTAAATGGTCAAAGGCATGAGCTCATAGAAGAGGAACAGATCAAATCACACCCAGGGCAGGGCTGTGGACTGGAGCAACTGCCCTAATGACTGTGCAGGATCTGATCTCTATATGCAGTAGCTATAGTGTCCACTGTCTGATCGAATATCTGGCTTCAGTGGATTTGAGTATAGCTGTGTGCAGTTGTCTAATTCGATTTAGTCTCTCTCAAGGGAATTCAACAATACGCAGTGAACTTTGACAACCCCCAGTCCCATGCAGCCATCCTCCTAGAATCCCTCCACCCCCACCTAGCCACCTAGCCTCCAAGGATTGTCACGGGTGTTCATAGATGTGCGGTACCAGGGCTGGGAGGAAAGTAGGAGAGAGAGGAGAATGGAGGGAGGCTATATTTAGAACGACCAACTCACAGCAAAAAACATTCCGTTTTCAATCTCCAGTCCTTGGTCTGCTGAGATACTGACATTCTCTTTTCTCTCTCTCTCTCTCCTCTCTCTCTCTCTCTCTCTCTCTCTCTCTCTCTCTCTCTCTCTCTCTCTCTCTCTCTCTCTCTCTCTCTCTCTCTCTCTCTCTCTCTCTCTCTCTCTCTCTCTCTCTCTCTCTCTCTCTCTCACTATCCCACAACTCTCACTGCTACCTCCCTCCTTCCTTTTTCACTCTGTTTTCGCCTCACTCTTTCTTTGTAATTTCGCTCTCTATCTGCATTCCCCTCCCTCTGAGTGAGTTAGAACTCCTCTGCGACTTAGTAGCTGTTCCAGCACAACACTAATGATGCAAATAGTCATCCCATCTTCTCGGTTCTAAGACCAAGGCTGTTGAAGTGTGTGTGTGTGTGTGTGTGTGTGTGTGTGTGAGCGTGTGTGTGTGTGTGTGTGTGTGTGTGTGCGCGTGTGTGTGTTTGTATGTAATGCCTTGAATGAAATAAAAAAGGCAACACATACATAAACACATAGCCCTGAGACATTTCAGCTGAAAGCAGTTGGTGCACTTTATTCTTTAGCAGCCAAAGTTGAATGAGAGGGAGAGTGGGGAGAGTGTATACTACCAGGTTAATGGCCCATCTTAAGTAGGGTCCTTAGTGCCTGGGGCAGCCTGAGTGGGAGAGCATGCAGGCAAGGCCCAGTCTTATTAGACCCTGGGTCAGGAACAATAGGGCTGGTGTGTGTGTGTGTGTGTGTGTGTGTGTGTGTGTGTGTGTGTGTGTGTGTGTGTGTGTGTGTGTGTGTGTGTGTGTGTGTGTGTGTGTGTGTGTGTGTGCAGTGTTGGGGAAGCTACTTCTAAAAATATGGTTTACCAAGCTGTCAATTATTTTACATTTACATTTTAGTCATTTAGCAGACGCTCTTATCCAGAGCGACTTACAAATTGGTGCATTCACCTTATGATAGCCAGTGGGACAACCACTTTTTAAATTGTTTTTATTTATTATTATTACTATTATTATTTTATATATTTTGTGTGTGGGGGGGGGGGGTAGAAGGATTACTTTTATACTATCCCAGGTATTCCTTAAAGAGGTAGGGTTTCATGTGTCTCCGGAAGGTGGTCAGTGACTCCGCTGTCCTGGCATCGTGAGGGAGCTTATTCCACCATTGCGGTGCCAGAGCAGCGAACAGTTTTGACTGGGCTGAGCGGGAACTGTGCTTCCGCAGAGGTAGGGGGACCAGCAGGCCAGAGGTGGAAGAACGCAACGTCCTCGTTTGGGTGTAGGGACTGATCAGAGCCTGAAGGTAAGGAGGTGCCGTTCCCCTCACAGCTCCATAGGCAAGCACCATGGTCTTGTAGCAGATGCGAGCTTCAACTGGAAGTCAGTGGAGTGTGCGGAGGAGCGGGGTGACATGAGAGAACTTGGGAAGGTTGAACACCAGACGGGCTGCAGCGTTCTGGATAAGTGATAATTACTTCACACTGGAAGAAGTTAAGCTTCACTAAAGCTACCCTTAACACAAATATAGTTTACTTAACTAAAGTTACTTTGAAAAAGTAGTTCACTACATCCAAACTACTTCATGATAAATAATCATATCTAAATCTGAAATATCATAGACTACAAATTACAAGAACGGATCATTCTGGAGTCAGATGTTAACAAAATGTTGAATTTAGCTAACTAAACACACAAACTATGTTTAAAGTTAGAATAATAATAATAATAATAATAATAATAAATAAGAATAAGGTAGTTCTGATGCCGAAAAAGGAACACAATTATTGCTTGCTATGTGTGTGCGTGCTTGTATGCATTTGTTAGTGTGTGTGTGTGTGTACATCTCCCACTATAGGATATCGCTCTCTACTAGCATGTATAGAGACATATGATGGAGATGGAGTGGAGATGTCTCCTTGATGCTGACTCACCCCCTGCATCTCTATAGCTCCATGCATCTCTATAGCTCCATGCATCACCTCTCTGTCAACAGCACTGAGAAGCACTGAGCGGCCACACCCTGCCCTGCCCTGCTCTCTGTCTCTGTTGTAGAACTGCTACACAAGCCCGTTCTACCCTCCTTTCTCTGTCTCTGTCTCCATCTTAGGACTGCTATGGCAGCCCCTCCTCTCTCTCTCTGCCTCTCTCTGTCTTAGGAATGCTTGTTAGTCACTCTGACAGACACAACCCTACCATGCCCTGTCTCTGTCTTAGTTAGCCAACCCTGGTCTGCTCTCTCTGTCTCTGCTAGCTAGCCAGTCTGACATAACCCTGCCCTTCTCTCTGTCTCTTTCTCAATTTGTCTTTCCTCGATTTCTCATGTCATCGCTCCTCGCTTCTTTCTCAAAAGGCATCGGAGGAGAAGGTCCAAGGAGAAGGAAGCGAAGGGAGAGGACGCAAGGAATCGAGGAAAATACTAATTGAGAAAGAGCTATTGTCTCAGCACTGCTAGTGAACTATGGAAGCTATAGAGGTAGGACCAGGCAGTCGCAGGACTAGAATTGTAAATACAGCACTTTGCCGATGCAGGATGGTAAACTACACAGCTAATTGGCCAAGTTATAAGGCAGATGTATTATGTTATGGACTTTATAGTCTTCATAACCCTCCCTCTATTGGTTGGAACTATAGGGCCATCATTATTGCTGAGTTCAGTTACATAACAGCTAGCTCTCTTTGTTTAGTTTATTTATGGAGGTGGCTGATGATTACAGTGATGATCGGCCAATTGGAAATGACACCCTATTCCCTAGATAGTGCACCTTATTTCATATAGTACACTACAGTTCCTTTTCATGAGGAATAGGGTGCCATGTCAGTCACATTCTCCATGAATACCAACCACTCTCTGCTACTGGCCCATGGTGTTGGTTAGTTTGTAAATATATCCTTCATGATCACAGAGTTATCACGTAAAGAGGTTATCATAGAGAGTTATCACATAGAGAGGTTATCACATAGAGAGGTTATCATAGAGAGTTATCGCACAGAGAGGTTATCATAGAGAGTTATCACATGGAGAGGTTATCATAGATATATCAAATAGAGAGGTTATCATAGATATATCATATAGAGAGGTTATCATAGAGAGATATCATATAGAGAGGTTATCATAGAGAGTTATCACATAGATCATATAGAGGGGGATGTGTTGTAAACAGTGGGAATACGTGTAATGTAAAGGGAGGGGTTCTAAATACAGTTACAAGCAGGAGAAGAGAAATATAGTCTCCTTCCTGCAGAGGACAGGGATGTATCTTACCTGGCAGGAGAAATTAGGTCTGTGTGTTCTACAGACTAGAGAGAAGTTGAGAAGGGGTACACTACAGTACAGTGGATAAGCAGGGTCATGGTAACTGGAGGGGGGTGTAGAAGAAGAAGAATTGAGAAAAGAGGAAAGAAAGAAACAAGGTCTTCTTGCATTAAGGAGCAACAAAGAAGGAACCGACCCGAGAGAGAGACTAGAGCAGAACCGACCCGACCAGTGAGAGGGCGTATGCGGCACACAAAGCACAAGTACTGCAGTTAGGGCATACATTTTGTATAGGAAATGGCTGTTGAGGAATTCAGCCCAGCCAAGGCAGGCAGGCAGGCAGTGCACTAATGTCAGAATGGAGCACTTAGGCCGAGCCTCTCTCTCTGCCTGTAACTAACAACGGGCTTGGAGGCTGGGGGGCTGGGGGAGAGAGAGGGGGAGGGGGCTGAGGAGGGGAGGGTGGTGAGGGGCTGGGGAGAAAAGGAGGGGAGGGGTCTGCATGTGTGAGATGGAGAGGAAGAGAGAGCAGGCAGCAGTAGAAGCATGTCCGACTCGAGCGCTACAGGACTCATCGGTAATAAGGTATTGTGTTGCTCTCTGTTGCTTTCTCTCTTTCTCTCTCTCTCTCTCTCTCTCGCTCTCTCTCTCTCTCTGTCTGTCTTTCCGTCTGCTCTCCGTTTCCACAATCGGGTACCTCTCTTCTAATCTAATGCTCTAATGCTCTTCTCCTCATCACTCTCCTCCTATCTCTCCTCTCCTCTGGTACCGCTCCCTCTCTCCTCTCTTCCGTGCTCTACCCCGCCTCATGTTTTCAACGTGCTCTACCTACCTCAGCAGAAAGCCTGTTCTTGTTCACTCACTCCGTCAGCATAACCCCCTCTCTTCCTCTCCTTTTCCCCTTCCTTCTTGGACATACAGGAACATTTTGTCTTTCCATCTCACCTCTCTGGACTTTGCCTGCTCCACTTTATACTTTGCATGCTGCTGTTGCTATCTTGTTTGAGATATTTTTGCTAAATACTGAGTTTGGAAACTATAAAAGGGTATCAGTTCAGTTAAAAGATATAGAATAGTACAAGTATGGCATGTCATAAGATATTTGATATATACATTTTCAAACTAAAACGTGTTATCTCAATCAACAAAAACGTGGGTTTAGAAAAACAGAATCTGAGTGACTGAATGGAAATAGGCCATGAGTATGTCTGAACTGTTATTGGGGGGAAAGTGGTGTTGTTATAATCTATACTGAGAGAGGCTGGCTCAACTCACTGACTGACTGACTGCTATGTGTGGGGTGCCACCTCCTGGACAGACTATGTTATTGCTACTGCATGTTGCTACCTCATGTATTATTCGCTTTGGCCAAAAGAGTTGTTGCTGTCAGAGAAGAATAAGTTAAATGTGTGTGTCTGTGTGAGGGTGGTAACTACTGTCGGCTTGATGTTGAGACACCAAGGTTCTGAAAACACTGTAGCACAGTCTACCCCTGCACATTGACTCGGTACTGGTACCTCTTGTATATAGCCAAGTTATTGTTACTTATTGTGTCTTTTTTTCTTGTGTTATTATTTTTCTATTATTTCTCTTTTTTTCTCTCTGCATTATTGGGAAGGGCCAGTAAGTTAGAACTTCACTGATAAGCTAAACCTGTTGTTTACGAAGCATGTGACAAATTTGATTTGATTTGATTTGATTTATGTGAGTGTTTTACTGCTACTACCCAACGCCTGGGCTGTTATGGTAGAGCACGCGCTCTCTCTCTCTCTCTCTCTCTCTCTCTCTCTCTCTCTCTCTCCTCTCTCTCTCTCTCTCTCTCTCTTTCTCTCACTTTCGCTCTCTCTACAACACCACATAGAGACTGTGTGTTACAGCCACACCAACTGAATGTCATCCCCTTCTAGGATCCTGTGTCTCTCCTAGTATCACATGACTGTATTGATCTGATCTCATTGTTGTGTGGTTGGCAGTGAGGTCTTAGGGTGATCTTTTAAAGCCCTGGTATGAGATATGGTGGATGTTGCAGTGATTGTTGTTATAGGCTCATGTTTCTTCGGAGGAGGAGAAGAAGAGGAGTTAAAGGTGTTGTCTCTTGCTTACAACAATGTGTCTGCACTAGAGGTACAGTAGTCTTCAGAACAACACGCTGGCTCAAGTTTTGGAAATGATCTCATTCAACTAGTGTCTGACAATAAGGAGTTCTTGGCAAAAGTGAACAACAGGTTTTGTACTGCTCAGATTCACAGACCAGAGAAGTGGAAATTGGAATATTCTAAGACAGACATATTCTGAGATTGTAATATTCTATACTCTAGCTATGATGTCGGACTGTGAGACCAGGACAGTGTCAGAGAGAGAGGGCCTTCATATCCATAGTCTATCCCTCTCTCGCTCTACCCCTCTCCCCTCCTTTCCCTCCTCTCCGATCCTCTTTCCTCTCTACTCCTCTCTCCTCCCCTCTCTCACACTCACACTCACTCTACTCTGAGGAAGCACTGGGTGGAACTTGACAGAATCTGTCTGGTGTTCCAACTTTCTGCTACTGTAAAGAGAGCAGTGGCGTGTATTCATGGATGCCAAGGGAAGCCAGGCCTCCCCCAAAAATTTACAAAAAATAAAATGTAAAAAAATAAAATAATGAATTAATTAGTCTCTCTGTGTTTTTATAATTTTCCTTCAATTCGCAAGAGGCTGAATGTATCTCACAGAAGAAATCATCAGAGCGAGTGAAACAGCGCCCCTCTGTCTCTCAATGTGTAGGCCATCTATCTGATTCTGTCTGATCCAAATGAGTATGAAATTGTTGCCGCCCGTAGCCAATCAACGTTGAGCTAAACTGAGCGAGCTCAACTGTGAATGGTTCTGGCGCACCAAAAAAAAGTGTCCAGGGAAGCCAGCTTGGATTTGGCTTCACTCCTATCAAATCCCATTGATAGGATACATCATTGACAGAAAAACTTGAATCTCGTTGTGTTGTTGTCCTCGGGTGGCTAGCTAGTCAGCTAGCAAAAATTGGCCCTTCCCCAGTGATTTTACCCACACACCGCTACTGAAAGAGAGAGACAGTAGTCTACAGTCAAAAAATAATTGATACATGAGTGGTGATTGATTGTGTAGAAGTAGAGCTGATCTCAAAGTACTGTGTAGTATTATATTGATTACATTCTTCTTTGCTCCCAGAGCCATATCTCTATCTAGGGCTCTGTGTGTAGGGCCGGATTACAGATTACACACAGGGCCCCCAACCAAAATATGTATAAAATATTTATATTTTTATATTTTTGGGGGGTTGGGGGCCCCCTGGAGGTCGGGCCCCCCAGATAGCATATGAACATGTCGGTTGGGGTCCCCCTAGAGGTCGGGCCCTCCCAGGTAGCATATACACACATCATAAGCCATGGAAAAATATGTAGAATTGCAGAAAATTTGCTTTAGAACTGCAAAAACGTATCTCAGCCTCGTGGCGAAATGTATAGAATAGCAGAAAAATGTGCTTTAAAACTGCAAAATGTTCTCACAGCCTCATGGCAAAATGTGTAGAATTGCAGGAAATTAGCTCTAAATCAGCACATTTTTCTCTCAGCCTCATGGCAAGATGTGTCAAATAACATGAGATTAGCTATAGAACTGCAGGAGGTTAGCTGTTTTCCTTTTTTGGGGTGGGGGGCCCCCTGGAGGTAGGTGCCCTGGGGCACCAGATGTGGTAGTCCGGCTCTGTCTGTATGCTCCTTTTCCACAAAAATGGATACTGTTACTGGAATAGTGTGAAGTCAAGCGTGTGTTTGCTGTGTTTTCTTCATACATATCCATGTATCTTCAATGGGAATTCATAATTCATTAACTAAGCCTATGGTATGATGCATAGACTGAGGGCATTACACCTGCATGCAGAAAGACATCTAATGTGAAACACATGCAACCATTTACTGTATTAGTCACTCCCATCCACAGCACTACTAATCATTATCATAAGGCATTATAAAGGCTCATAAATGCTTATAACAAGTTATAAAGCATTAGTATAGATGATATGTTAAAACAATATATTTTTCAGTGTATTATGTATTAGTCTCATCCGCAGCATTACTAACCAAACTGAACTAGAGTCTTTCTTGTTAATTCTGCTTTGTTTCTTCCTGTGGTCTAAGTATCTTTAGATGCCAGCCCCTTCGGCACGCTTTGATATTTTAATGATATCCACACTGTGCTCTGGATCGCTGAATCCAGCCTTGTGCCCAAATGATTTTGGGACGAGGGGATGGGGAGAGAAGGGAGGAGACAGGTGAAAAAAGAGAAAAGCTGTTCTCTGTATCGAGCCTGCAGAAATGATTTGGGAGAGGGTAAAGGGAGGGAAGAAGGAAGAGGGAGGGGTGGAGAAAAAAGAGAGAGACAGGTGATAAAAGAGAAGGCTGCCTGCTGCTGTGCCATTGTTATTGAGCTATATTTGGAGCTATATTTGGCAGTGGTGTGTGGGTGTGTATGTGTATCAGTCTGGCATGTGAGGAGTCTTCCTCTGGTGTGTGTGGGCCAGCTGGGACTGAAAGCAGACGGGGATTGGAAACCGGTGACGGTGAGTGTACAACATGTTGGGTTTAGGACTGACTGAGGAGGGGGAGTATTTTTACCCATGACAGGATTGTCTGACAGTGAGCTGATACGATGAGGCAATTAGTGTCTTCTACTGTAGATGGGATGCACTTCCTTTTACCAGGTTTCTTTCCGAAAGTGTTGAGATATTTTAATAACTTGATACATACCCTGGTTATGCTGTTCATGTCTTCAAAGTTATGGCTTTGATTGTGTGGTGACTTACTTTTGGGGGCGATATGAACTTGATAATACTGTTTAGTTTAGAAGATACAGTATGTTCAGAATAGTGTGTACTCCTTTGCGGCAAAATGTGGTTGCAGCATCTGTTGCAGCACAATCTACGGTAGACTTACTGTACATGCTACAAGGTTTCCCTTGATTCAGTTCAGTAACTAAACATTGGAACACTACCATATGTACTGCATGTTGTTGCAGTGCTCGCCTCACACACATGCTCCCCAGAGAGGACTGCTTTGGAAAGCACTAGCAGGAACTGAACAGGAACTGGAACTGCCAGTCCCAGCTAGGCAGGTCACATGAGTCCAGGGCCAGGGCCAGGGCTAGGCCAGACAGGTACCTGCAGTAGGTAAAGAGACAGAACGCGCTCATCTCAGGTACTGGAGAAGGGAGTCCACATAAAGCCATCTGATGTGAATTAATGGGTGACACAGAGAGCTTGGATTTGAATGATAGAAACGTTGTCAGTCATACAGTCGAAGTAAGTGTTTTTAGATCAAGTATCACGCTATTTTGACTTATATTCTCTTGGTCGTTGCTATTTACGGGAAATGGGTCCTGTGTGGTGTGGTGTTTCTAACCTCCCTGTAGGCTGATTCTTTCGTTCTTCTTCTGTAAGTGTTATATGGAGGCCAATTAAATGGTGGTCCGATTTTATTTTGATGTCCATAATATATAACTATGGAGATAGTCAACTGGATGTCACTTTATATCTGATTCGGCCATTGTTCACAAAAAATCTCTCTCTCTCTCTCTCTCTCTCTCTCTCTCTCTCTCTCTCTCTCTCTCTCTCTCTCTCTCTCTCTCTCTCTCTCTCTCTCCCTCACTCTAGGGTTCAGCCGATTCCTACACTAGTAGACCCTCGAATTCCGACGTGTCCCTGGAGGACGACCCCGAGGCGTCTCGGCTTGAAGCCGAGCGCCAGGCCCAACTGCAGCTGGAGAGAGCCAAGGTAGGCAACCTCTCCTCCACCCGCTAGTCATAGAGCCAAGGTAGGCAACCTCTCCTCCACACGCTAGTCATAGAGCCAAGGTAGGCAACCTCTCCTCCACCCGCTAGTCAGAGAGCCAAGGTAGGCAACCTCTCCTCCACCCGCTAGTCATAGAGCCAAGGTAGGCAACCTCTCCTCCACCCGCTAGTCAGAGAGCCAAGGTAGGCAACCTCTCCTCCACCCGCTAGTCATAGAGCCAAGGTAAGCAACCTCTCCTCCACCCGCTAGTCATAGAGCCAAGGTAGGCAATCTCTCCTCCACCCGCTAGTCATTGAGCCAAGGTAGGCAACCTCTCCTCCACCCGCTAGTCATTGAGCCAAGGTAGGCAACCTCTCCTCCACCCGCTAGTCATAGAGCCAAGGTAGGCAACCTCTCCTCCACCCGCTAGTCAGAGAGCCAAGGTTAGTAGAGTTAGTAAGCAGAGTCAGGAGTTTAGTTAGTGAATTAGCTTGAAGCCAAACGTCAGGCCCAACTGCAGATGGAGAGAGCTAAGGTGAATTACCCTTCTTCAAGCTCTCTTCTCCCCTGCAACTATTCCTCTGATGTGTTCTCAATGTGTTCTCAAGCAACTTAAAATAAGGGTTAAATATAAAACATTAAGCAGTTATTCAGATCCAGAGAGCCAAGGAGAGATCCCCATAGGATGGAATACTGTCAGGTCACAGCATCCTTTCGTAAACACTTTTGTGTCTCTCTCTGTCCTCCCCAGTCGAAAACCGGTAGCATTTGCAGTGAAGACCAATGTGAGTTACTGTGGGGCTCTAGATGGGGACTGTCCAGTCCAAGGTGCTGCTATCAACTTTGAAACCAAAGACTTTCTACATATAAAAGAGGTGAGTGGAGTTCCGTATGCATCATCCTCAACAATCCCTGTCACTATATCACTATCACGTCATCCATCCATTATCTCCACTCTAATTACATTTATTTTCATAGTTGTTACAGTTATCTTAACCAGTAGCTATTGTAACCTAGTCCTTACACATTGACAACATGTAAGACCATAACTACGACAGGTATCTCTTTCTCTTCAGTTACTAAGACATTAGCCACATGAACCCCTGCTGCCATATTGTTGGAACAGCATTGACAGCCGTTTCATTTTGACTTGACTGATGTCCATTTTGTCTCTTTGTCTGCAGAAATACAGCAATGACTGGTGGATCGGTCGGCTGGTGAAGGAGGGGGCGGACATCACATTCATCCCCAGCCCGGTGAAACTGGAGGCCATGCGGATCAAACAGGAACAAAAACAGGCACAGAGGTTAGGGTTCATCCTCTCTCATACAGTGCATTCGGAAAGTATTCAGACCCCTTGACTTTTTCCACATTTTGTTACATTACAACCTTATTCTAAAATAGATTAAATTGTTTTTTCCCCCTCATCAACCTAGAAACAATACCCCATAATGACAAAGCAAAAAATATAAAAAACAGAAATATCACATTTGCATAAGTATTCAGACCCTTTACTCAGTACTTTGTTGAAGAACCTTTGGCAGCGATTACAGCATCGAGTCTTCTTGGGTATGACACTACAAGCTTGGCACACCTGTATTTGGGGAGTTTCTCCCATTCTTCTCTGCAGATCCTCTCAAGCTCTGTCAGGTTGGATGGGGAGCGTCGCTGCACAGCTATTTACAGGTCTCTCCAGAGATGTTTGATCGGGTTCAAGTCTGGGCTCTGGCTGGCCCACTCAAGGACATTCAGAGACTTGTCCCGAAGCCACTCCTGCGTTGTCTTGGCTGTGTGCTTAGGGTCGTTGTCCTGTTGGAAGGGGAACCTTTGCCCCAGTCTGAGGTCCTGAGCACTCTGGAGCAGGTTTTCATCAAGGATCTCTCTGTACTTTGCTCTGTTCATCTTTCCCTCGATCCTGACTAGTCTCCCAGTCCCTGCAGCTGAAAAACATCCCCACAGCATGATGCTGCCACCACCAAGCTTCACCATGGGGATGGTGCCAGGTTTCCTCCAGACGTGACGCTTGGCATTCAGGCCAAAGAGTTCAATCTTGGTTTCATCAGACCAGAGGATCTTGTTTCTCATGGTCTAAGAGTCCTTTAGGTGCCTTTTGGCAAACTCCAAGCGGGCTGTCATGTACATTTTACTGAGGAGTGGCTGCCGCCTGGCTTCCGTCTGGCCACCTGATTGGTGGAGTGCTGCAGAGATGGATGTCCTTCTTGAGCTCTGTCAGAGTGACCATCGGGTTCTTGGTCACCTCCCTGACCAAGTCCCTTCTCCCCAATTGCTCAGTTTGGCCGGGCGGCCAGCTCTAGGAAGAGTCTTGGTGGTTCCAAACGTCTTCCATTTAAGAATGATGGAGGTCACTGTGTTCTTGAGGATCTTCAATGCTGCAGAATGTTTTTTGGTACCCTTCCCCAGATCTGTGCCTTGACACAATTTTGCTCTGACATGCACTGTCAACTGTGGGACCTTATATAGACAGGTGTGTGGCTTTCCAAATCATGTCCAATCAATATAATTTACCACAGGTGGACTCCAATCAATGGAAACAGGATGCACCTGAGCTCAATTTCGAGTCTCATAGCAAACGGTCTGAATACTTATGTAAATAAGGTATTTCAGTTTTTTTAAATACATTTGCAAAAAGTTCTAAAAACCTGTTTTCGCTTTGTCATTATGGGGTTTGTGTGTAGATTGATGAGGATTTAAAAAAACTATTTTAGAATAAGGCTGTAACGTAACAAAATGTGGAAAAGGGGAAGGGGTCTGAATACCTTCCGAATGCATCCCCTTGCTACATCCAAAGTCTCTTTCTCAGTAGTCTTTCCTTGATTCCTTGTGTCCTCTTCTCCTACCCTCTCCATGCCTCCTCCTCAAAACATCAGCAAATGTCCTTGAATGTCAGCGGGAAGCACAGTTGGTAGCTCAGTTGGTAGAGCATGGTGATTGCAATGCCAGGATAGTGGGTTCAATTCATGGGACTACCCTTAGGTAAAATGAATGCACGCATGATGTAAGTCGCTTTGGCTAAAAGCGTCTGCTAAATGGCATATATTTATTATATTATGTTAAGCAAGGAGAGGATTCAAGGAAAGATAACACTGCTTGTATAGTCCTTGAATCCTCATCTTGTTCTCATGCACCATGTTGTTGTCCTATAGGAAAGCAGCGAACACATCGTCCGGCTGGAGGTCAACACCACCATCTGCAGGTGAGTGACTGCTGTGGGTGATTGACCTCCCGCTTCTTTCTCATACCAGATTTATGTAAAGTGATGCCAAAGAAAAATGTCCATCATGGATGGACAATAAAATCCTATACTATTCTATGTAGCAAAGCCTGTTTATTCGTTAGAATCAACCATGTGCAGTATCCAGAGTTGAGGCCGTCTCCATTTGAATTAAGTCAATTTAGGAAGGATGCTGAAATTCAGATTCCAACCCTGATAGTGTTGCTGCTTTTTACTGGATGAATGGGGCTTAAAGGGAGCCGCAGGATATCCTATTTTCAGACACTATACCATCTGCTCTCCATAAATAGACATGCGTATTAGCTTTCATGCTAAATCTGTTTTCTCTTGTTTTTACAAGCCAAACAGAAGCAAAAGCAGGTATGTTGGTAATGCAGGTTATTCTACTGTGTGTCAGATCTAGTAATAACTAGAAAATTAAAATACTCTACTCCACTGTCTTTTGTTCTTATTTGATTACACGTTGGTAGATGCTAGTCTCAATGACTGGGGGGTTAAAACTCAGGGCTCTAGTATGCTCTTTAAAGTATATGTTGTTCCAAGCCCAGTGTATGTGTCTCCTGTTTAGACAGAACATCTCCCACCCTATGATGTTGTTCCCTCCATGAGGCCGGTTGTATTGGTGGGGCCCTCCCTGAAAGGCTATGAGGTGAGAAGCTGGTCGATACACACGCACGCAAGTACGCACGCACACACACACACGCATACACACCCGCACAGAGACGCAAAAGTATGCATGCACACGCACACAGACAGAGACACACATGCACATACACACACACACACACACACAAACTTCCCTTCCATTAGCCCATTAGGCCAACCCCATAAACGTATTATGATCAAATTACACTACATTATGATATAGTAACATTATGAATCATGTGCTGCCCACTCACAATCACATAGAAAATCACCAAGTAGCCTATGTGTTATTGTCAGGACTTCCTTCGAAGCTACCTCCTCTCCTTGTTCGGGCAGGCTTCGGCGTTCGTCATCACCGGCCTTCTAGCCACTGCCGCTCCTCATCTCATCATTCCATTTGTTTTGTCTTGTTTTTACACACACCTGGTTCATATCCCCTCATCAGTACCTGTATAAGTATTCCCTCTGCCCCCCATGTCTTTGTGTGGGTAGGGTTCGGGTGAACTTGTGGAGTTGCGTCGTGTTGTCAAAAATAATTTGCTCGGCGAGGAGAATTTGCAAGGTGCTGAGGGGGAACTGCCAAATGGGAGAGCCTCGTAAATGGCGTCCCTTGAGAAAGCAAGAAACAGATGTGTATCAGGAGAAGTGCAGTATTATCATAAGGAGACGTATACTTGGATGACGGAGGAGGAATGGAGGGAAAAAGAGAGGCAGAGGAGGTCTAAGAGAGAGAGGGAGGAAGAGGGTGAGCTTGAGTCAGTAAAAAATGGTGGAAAAAAGGGACAAGGTTTGTTAAAGAAGAATGGTAGAAAATGTAAGCAAAGTGAGCTGAAGACAGGAGGAGAAATGGAAGTGAATGAGGGTGTAGTATCGGAGCCCGAGGCTTGCACAGAGGGTCAAGATAAAGATGAGTCTGTAACAGTAGGAGTGAAGTTGTTAGAAAAAGTGGACCCTTGCCTTTTGGCTGATCCATTTGTGGTTTCAGGATGGGTGAAAAAAGCGTTGGGTATAGTGGAATCGGTGAGGGTAACCAGAAGTGGTCTAGTGATAATTGTTTGTGTTTCTGTTGGTCAGAGGGAGAAGGCGCTCAGAGTTAAACAAATGGGGGAAATAATTGTGAATTGTTTCGCTCTCAAGAAAAGGGCACCATTGAAAGGAATGATTACTGGGGTAGCAGTAAATGTAAAAGTTGACCAACTGAAGGGGAAGATTCCCGGTGTTTGTGATGCTCGTCATTTGGTGCGACGCAAACAGGGTGGCGAGAGTGGGGAAACAGAAGAGTCATTGTCTGTTCTTTTGAGTTTTGAAGTTGAGTCTTTGCCTGACAAAGTGAAGTTAGGATATATAAGTTATCCTGTACGAGCTTATGTGCCGAATACATTACGATGTTACAGGTGTCAAACTTATGGGCATGTGGCAGCAGTGTGTAGGAGGGAGGTTCCAAGGTGTGAGAAGTGTGTAGAAGGGCATGAGACAAAGGAATATGTAGCATTGGGGAAAGTAGTGGTATGTGCTAATTGTAGGGGTGCCCATGGGGCTGGGGATCAGAAATGTCCCGTGCGAGAGACGCAGGTTGAGGTTTCCAGGGTAAGAGTAGTGAAGAAGTTGTCATATGCTGAGGCAGTGAAGAAAGTAGAGGAAGATCGGTCAAGAGGGAAGAGTGGTGAGAGTAGTAGATATGTACCAGTACAGAGGGATAGGCCAACAAGTGATATATGTTTCAGTAAGATTGGATTTTTAGCATTTATAGCAATGGTTATTCATTGTACTGCAGGGATGGAACGTAAGTCGAAGAAAATTGAGGTTGTGGTGGCAGCTGAAGAGAGGTATTTGGGTGTGCGAGACTTGACATCAGAAGAGTTACAGGGAGTGTTAAGTGGTGATGTCCCATCATTTCAGTTGTACTCCAGTTTAGTAGGTGGCGGTAATGCAACAAATTGGATGCCAACCGCCGTTAAACCTCATCGAAGAAGAAGAAGAAGCTGTCTTTGTGTGTGATTGTTTATTGTGGAGGTGACGATAGCTCGGTGGAGCTTTATATATTTGTATTGCCGGGATATTTTACCTGTGCTTTGTTTTCTCCAGTGCGCCGTTATACCACACTGTAGTGTTTTACGCATTTGCTGCGTACCGCTGTATTTGCCGAATAAACCATTTATTCTGTGATTACCCCCTCCTGCGCCTGACTCCGTCCAAATCACCCGCTACACTTATACTGTACATGCCCAATACAGAATACAAAATATGATGTGTAGGCTGTGTAAGGGATATAATGCATGTTATTTGACTGTAATGATACTGCATGTTATTTGACTGTAATGAGCTTGACTTAGTTTGAGCCTAACAAACGAGTCTGCTCAACAATAAGGCATATCATTAGATTAAATCTCTCTCTGCTTTAACATTTTCACTCTGCCTCTCTCTGCCTCTCTGCCACCCTCTCTCTCTCATGTGTGACTGCGGCGGCTGAGAGCTGTTTGTTTTGTGTGTCTGTGAAATATTTATGCATTTCTCTTGTGATGTGCTTTGGGGATGCTCCGGAGGCATACGTCAGCCATTTCTCTCTCCCGCTTTCTCTCTCTCTCTCTCTCTCTCTCTCTCTCTCTCTCTCTCTCTCTCTCTCTCTCTCTCTCTCTCTCTCTCTCTCTCTCTCTCTCTCTCTCTCTCTCTCTCTCTCTCTCTCTCTCAAATGTTCTTAACTAAGACAAAATCATTCATAATTGACTTTTTTTCTACACAACATAGGTACAGCAGATCCCCTTATTGTATGGGACACTTTTACATGTACTTTTAGAGGCCATTAAATACAATACTCATCATTAAAACAAAAGCAGTTTAGGTCAAAAGAGATTAGACTAATAATGGAAATAGAGGAACCAGGAATTAAAATTGATTTTTGGGGGGTTTGTATCATTTGATTTACACAACATGCCTACCACTGAAGATGCAAAATATATTTGTTGTGAAACAAACAAGACTAAGACAAAAAAACTAAAACTTGAGCGTGCATAACTATTCACCTCCCCCAAAGTCAATAATTTGTAGAGCCACCTTTTGCAGCAATTACAGCTGCAAGTCTCTTGGGGTATGTCTCTATAAGGTTGGCACATCTAGCCACTGGGATTTTTGCCCATTCTTCAAGGCAAAACTGCTCCAGCTCTTTAAAGTTGGATGGGTTCCGCTGGTATACAGCAATCTTTAAGTCATACCACAGATTCTCAATTGGATTGAGGTCTGGGCTTTGACTAGGCCATTCCAAGACATTTAAATGTTTCCCCTTAAACCACTCGAGTGTTGCTTTAGCAGCATGCTTATGGTCATTGTCCTGCTGGAAGGTGAACCTCCGTCCCAGTCTCAAATCTCTGGAAGACTGAAACAGTTTTCCCTCAAGAATTTCCCTGTATTTAGTGCCATCCATGATTCCTTCAATTCTGACCAGTTTCCCAGTCCCTGCCGATGAAAAACATCCCCACAGCATGATGCTGCCACCACCATGCTTCACCATGCTTCACTGGTGTTCTCGGGGTGATGAGAGGTGTTGGGTTTGTGCCAGACATAGCGTTTTCCTTGATGGCCAAAAAGCTCAATTTTTGACTTATCTGGCCAGAGTACCTTCTTCCATATGTTTTGGGAGTCTCCCACATGCCTTTTGGCAAACACCGAACGTGTTTGCTTATTTTTTTCTTTAAGCAATGGCTATTTCCTGGCCACTCTTCCGTAAAGCCCAGCTCTGTGGAGTGTAAGGCTTAAAGTGGTCCTATGGACAGATACTCCAATCTCCGCTGTGGAGCTTTGCAGCTCCTTATCTTTGGTCTCTTTGTTGCCTCTCTGATTAATGCCCTCCTTGCCTGGTCTGTGAGTTTTGGTGGGCGGCCCTCTCATGGCAGGTTTGTTGTGGTGCCATATTCTTTCCATTTTTTGAATAATGGATTTAATGGTGCTCCGTGGGATGTTCAAAGTTTCCAACCCTGATCTGTACTTCTCCACAACTTTGTCCCTGACCTGTTTGGAGAGCTCCTTGGTCTTCATGGTGCCGCTTGCTTGGTGGTGCCCCTTGCTTAGTGGTGTTGCAGACTATGGGGCCTTTCAGAACAGGTGTATATATACTGAGATCATGTGACAGATCATGTGACACTTAGATTTCACACAGGTGGACTTTATTTAACTAATTATGTGTCACGATCGTCTATAAAGGGAGCAGACCAATACGCAGCGCGTTGAGTGAACATGATGACTTTAATAAAGAAAGCACGTAACTACAAAACAAAAGACGATAGTGAAGTCCAACAGTGACAAAATACTGAACCTGGAACAAAAACCACACCCAAGAAACTACAGAAAAATATGGCTAATAGGATAACGAGCGACAGTGACATCGTTACTTGGAGTCATGCCAACTGAGAAAGACCATAGAAACACAACAACAAAAAACACCAGAACGGGCTGAACACACAAAGTCACAGCCAGAGGGACATGGACTTTGAAGTATTGGTGCACCATTATTCAGGCTTATAGCAAGGGGTAATCAATGACAACCACTTTCGTTTATTTTTTTAATCCATTCACATAATAACATTAGGAAAAATGCCAAAGGGGATGAATACTTTAGCAAGGCACTGTAGGGGAGAGTAAACAGAAGATAGCCCTATTTGGTAAAAGACCAAGTCCATATTATGGCAATAACAGCTCAAATAAGAAAAGACAAATGACAGTCCATAAATACTTTAAGATATGAAGGTCAGTCAATACGGAACATTTCAAGAACTTTGAACGTTTCTTCAAGTGCAGTCGCAAAAACCATCAAGCGCTATGATGAAACTGGCTCTCATGAGGACCACCACAGGAATGGAAGACCCAGAGTTACCTCTGCTGCAGAGGATAAGATCATTAGAGTTACCAGCCTCAGAAATTGCAGCCCAAATAAATGCTTCACAGAGTTCAAGTAACAGACACATCTCAACATCAACTGTTCAGAGAGGACAGTGTGAATCAGGCCTTCGTGGTTGAATTGCTGCAAAGAAACCACCACTAAAGGACAAATAAGAAGAAGAGACTTGCTTGGGCCAAGAAACACGAGCAATGGACATTAGACCGGTGGAAATGTGTCCTTTGGTCTGGAGTCCAAATTTGAGATTTTTGGTTCCAACCACCGTGTCTTTGTGAGACACGTGTGGGTGAACGGACGATCTCCGCATGTGTATTTCCCACCGTAAAGCATGGAGGAGCAGGTGTGATGGTGTGGGGGTGCTTTGCTGGTGACACTGTCAGTGATTTATTTAGAATTCAAGGCACACTGAACCAGCATGGCTACCACGGCATTCTACAGCGATCCGCCATCCCATCTGGTTTGGGCTTAGTGGGACTATCATTTGTTTTTCAACAGGACAATGACCCAACACACCTCCAGGCTGTGTAAGGGCTATTTGACCAAGAAGGAGAGTGATGGAGTGCTGCATCAGATGACCTGGCCTCCATAATCCCCCGATCTCAACCAAATTGAGATGGTTTGGGATGAGTCAGACCGCAGAGTGAAGGAAAAGCTGCCAACAAGTGCTCAGCATATGTGGGAACTCCTTCAAGACTGTTGGAAAAGCATTCCAGGTGAAGCTGGTTGAGAGAATGCCAAGAGTGTGCAAAGCTGTCATCAAGGCAAAGGGTGGCTATTTTAAGAATCTCAAATATAAAATATATGTTGATTTGTTTAACAGTTTTTTTTTACTACATGATTCCATATGTGTTATTTCATAGTTTTGATGTCTTTACTATTATTCTACAATGTAGAAAATAGTCAAAATAAAGAAAAACCATTGGATGAGTAGGTGTGTCCAAACATTTAACTGGTACTGTGTATATGGGGCACACAACAATCTCAGCTCTGTAGATTTTGCTGCGAAGAGACATATTCACTAGATCATTTATTCTGGTATTGCCCCTATGTAGCTTGTTTCTGGTCACAGGTTTAGGAATGGTTAAAAAAACACAACATTTACATAAAATTAACCTTACAAAAAGCAGTTTTAGGCGATTTTGAAAGCCATATTCAATCAATCTCCCGAGTGGCGCAGCGGTCTAAGGCACTGCATCTCAGTGCTTGAGGCGTCACTACAGACCCCCTGGTTCGATTCCAGGCTGTATCACAAACGGCCGTGATTGGGAGTCCCATAGGGCGGCGCACAATTGGCCCAGCGTCGTCCGGGTTTGGCCGGTGTAGGCCGTCATTGTAAATAAGAATTTGTTCTTAACTGACTTGCCTAGTTAAATAAAGGTCAAAAATAATAATAAAATAGAAAAAAGGGAACAAAATAAACAAAAACAAAATATTAAGGACAGAAATATCAATAATATAATAATACTCGTCGGAAAGGTTTTCATCTTTAGCTCACAATCTGTGGATACTATGCAATTAGAAAGGTTCAAAATTAATGTAAAACATCACAGCACAATTGACAAATATATGGCACATGGAAACCAAACGAGGGTGGTCTATGGTGATAGGTGGGATGGGCTGAGAGTGGCTGAGGGGTGGGATTAAAGAGTTTATGTTCGGTAATGTATTATTGTTATGTGATTGCTGTATTTAAAAGTACCGTGTATGTAAAATGAATGTATACTGTATGTAGCAGAAAAGCTGTTAAAACGTTTTATTTAAATATGTGTGGCGGATGGGTTAATAAAAGAACACATCCAGTTGACCAATCATATGGTTCACTGCAGCTCTGCAGTCAGTGGGGGGTGGTAAGTGCGTTGGTGTGGTCAGGAGGGTGATGTGTTCAGGAAGTGTCCATGCACTCAGCATTTGAAGGCCTGTAGACCAGTGTCTGTGATGTCACCGATAACGTGCTCTGGAAGACTATGTGTAGGAAGCTTCTGTCCAGGGAGCGTGTTGTGGCGACTGGTAGTTTTGACTAGATAGTATACAGTTTATGTCAGAATTGACCAGAATTGACTTTTCATGGGAGGTTAGGAGAACTTACGCAGCAGGTTAGGATAATTAACGTAGCAGGTTAGGATAATTTGGAAAGGGGTGGGGGGGGGTACTAAGCTGACATATGGAATTGTTTTAAGATGGTCATAGCATGGATCATTTAGCTATTTGATTTTGAATGTTAGCTAAATTGTCAGAGGCGCTCTTGTATTGTTATATCACCAAAATGTCAAGAATAAGGGCGCTAACAGGACGTCCATTCTAAAACCTCAATGACTCTGGCCATGACCATTCAGGGTTCAGTGCGCTCTACGTTCCTAACCAATTATCATCCTCGCCTCTGTCTCCCAGGTAACGGACATGATGCAGAAGGCCCTGTTTGACTTCCTGAAACACAGGTTTGATGGGAGGTGGGTACAGCCAGAACCACTACGGAATAAGTTGTCAAATTGTTTTGTGAAAATCCTTGGTGATTTTGAATGCAGTGTATCTGCTTGTGTGGCTGGAATTGTATTCTTAAATAGTCAAATTAAATAGAATCTATCCATTTACATGTATCAATATTTTCAGAATCTCTATCACGCGGGTGACTGCTGATCTGTCATTGGCTAAAAGGTCTGTACTGAACAAGAAGGCCATCATGGAAAGGTCCAATGCACGCTCCAGTCTAGGTGAGTAGAGGAGGACTTGTCCTGCATCCCTCATCAGCTTTAATTAGTGAAATTCTGGAGCTTTCAAATGTTCATCTTCATTTTGGGTCTGGAATAACCCTCAGTCAGTCCTGAGTACATCGTTTAGACAGTTGTGTTGATGGTTGGACCGACATCACTCAGGACCGATATTACACTTTCTCTTCTCTCTTCTCTGTACTTACTGTGCCTTCTGTTGTTCTGTTGGTCTGTCCTACCTGACTGTAATTCTCTGTGTGTGTTGGGGTGGTAGCTGAGGTCCAGAGTGAGATTGAGAGGATCTTTGAGCTGGCTAAGACCCTGCAGCTTGTAGTTCTGGATGCAGACACCATCAACCACCCAACACAGCTCCTCAAAACATCCCTGGCTCCTATCATCGTTTATGTTAAGGTGTCCTCTCCAAAGGTAAGGACTGATCCACTACCAGCACACTGTCAGTCAGTTAGTCAGCAAGACAGCCAGTCAGCCAGTCTGCCAGCCAGCCAGCTAGTCAGCTAGCCAGTCAGCCAGTCTGCCAGCCAGCCAGCTAGTCAGCTAGCCAGTCAGCCAGTCTGCCAGACAGTCAGTCAGCCAGTTAGCCAGCCAGCCAGCCAGCCAGCCAGCTAGTCAGCTAGTCAGTCAACCAGTCTGCCAGACAGTCAGTCAGCCAGTTAGCCAGCCAGCCAGCTAGTCAGCCAGCCAGCTAGATAGCCTGACAGTCTGCCAGCCAGTCAGCCAGCCAGTCAGTTAATCATTTTTTCCCTTCTCCCAGGTTCTTCAGAGGCTCATCAAATCTCGAGGGAAATCTCAAAGTAAACACCTCAATGTACAGATGATGGCAGGAGACAAACTAGCACAGTGTCCACCCGTATGTAATGAAAATAATACTTATATATTTATTTCCATTGTACAACAATCACAAAGTGTACGTTACTCTGTCTATCCACTCTAATGGAATACGTACACTCACCAGTTAGGGGTGTTAGTAGTATTCCCTTGACGTTTACCGTTTAGATATAGTGTTAATTTGAGTTGCCATCTATCTCATCTCTCAGGAGATGTTTGATGTGATCCTGGATGAAAACCAGCTGGAGGATGCATGTGAACACCTGGCAGAGTACCTGGACATCTACTGGCGTGCCACTCACCTGCCCTGCTCCACCCCCCTCAACCCCCTATTGGACCAGAGCGTGGTCACCCCGCCCTCTGCTAACTCCAGCCAACAGGTGAGCTCCTCTCGGCATGGTGTGTGATGACCAATAGGTTCCATGCATGTCTTTTTTGCAATTGTGCTGTGCATCTTATTAATGCGGTTCCTGAGATGCTCAATGGTGCAGCGCGACTGTAAAAACAATATGACTTTGAATGCCGCCAAATAATCTGGCCCTGGATCTGTGGTCATTCTGCTGCTTGCTATTCTCTCATTCATCCTTGTCTTTCTGTGTTTTCAGTTCTCAGAGACTCAAGAGTTAATAGAATGATCACTACCTAGCTACCACAGACACGGACCTGGGTGAGTAGGACCCTCCAGTCACTAACCCTCCCTACACTCTTCGAAAAAAAGCTGCTATCTTCAACCTAAAAGGGTTCTTCGGCTGTCCCCATAGGAAAACCCTTTGAATAACCCTTTTTGGTTCCAGGTAGAACTCTTTTGGGTTCCATGTAGAACCCTTTCCACAGAGGGTTCTACATGGAATCCAAAAGGGTTCTACCTGGAACCAAAAAGTGTTATACTTGGAACCAAAAAGGGTTCTCCTATGGAGACAGCCGAAGAACCCTTTTGGAACCTTTTTTTCAAAGAGTGTACAATTTTCTTTATTCTATTCTACTCTATTTTATTCTGTTTTATTCTATAAGGAGCAGCCACTGCTGTGGTTCAGAGGTAAGGGGTCAGAAGTCCGAGGTCACCGGGGTGTCACGGGGGGACCAGGGGTCGGCAGCTTTCCTTCCTTCTGGATAGGCACCATCTCCACAGGCCTGCCCCTCTCTATCCTGGAGAGGTGGAAGGAGGATGATGACAGGGGGACAGGGCAGCTTGCATCTAAGAGAGACAGCGGAGAAGGAGTTTGAGGAGCAGTAAGAGGAGCATGACAAGGAGGAAGAAGAAGAGGAGAACACCCCCCCGATAAAGACGGACCCCCACCTCCACGCTGCCCCCTGCTGGAGAGTCCTCCCAGAGGCTCCTGACTGCTCCCACAGCCACATGATGCTTCTCAGGGCCACGCACTGCAACAGCACGCAACGGGAACACAAACCAGCGCAGCGACCAGACCAAACCCAGACCAAACCCTCTCACCCCTTACATCCCCAAAACTCACTCTTCGCCCCGAGCCTAACCCTCCCCGCTATTAGCACTCAAAACAACTTAGCGATACAACCCAAACAGTTATGTACAACCCAAACTTTTACCACTGAACCAGCCCATGTGTTTCCGCTAAGGGCAGGCCTTTCCAGACACAGATGGGTTGGTCCAGCTCTGGTCTGGTCTTAGACAGTTCACAAGCTGAAACAACAAGTGTAATCTAATGCTTAATAATGCTTAGACTGTTGCATAGCGTGGCATACGTCTCTCCCAAAATCACTGTCCAATCTGAATTTATGAATGTGCGTACAGTACAGTACAGTAGCCCCCCACAATCAACAACTACTCTCTTTAAAGCTCTAAGGTTTCTTAAGCTTTCTAAAGATGTACTGAGGAACATGGCAATGAAAGACACTGACATATCTCCCATATTGCAGACCATTTCTGTATGTCTTCCGCCACCGCAAATGTCTGTGAGTCGCGATTTAAAGATTTGACCAAATGATTTGCTGTAATTAGGGCACACTGGGCAGTAGCAGAGTACACCACTGTTTTCAGACGTGTTCAGGAACCTGGTCAGTACCGTATGTAATGACCTTACCGTTCTCCTTCTTTATTGCTTGCTTTCTCTTGCTTGATAGCTTGTTTTTTTCCTGGCCTGTTTTGTATTGTGTTCCCGTAACAGACTGGTATTTGTAGGCCTTATATAGTGACACAGAGGAATAAAGCATGCATGAATCAAAGCACATCAAAGCACATTATCAAAGCACAGACTTGCACATTGCCATCTACAACTCTTGTGTATCTTTATCATGTTTCAACAGAATGTATCAACAGAAGGTCAGAGTAGCTTGTCATTAAATCCACCAATCAGATCGCAGGCAGGGACCCAGATAGGAGGAGTCAGACCACACACAGGTTTGCTTGTTATTTTTATTTATTTTTATGACCAAAAACATCATCAGTACTTGAGGAGATACATTAACCATTTGTAAATTCCAAACATTTAGTCAACACAGAAAAACCCTCTCCAAAACCAATTCCAGTTTCTCCTGAATGTATTCTTGCATGCCTTATCACTGTACAGTCCACATTATAGGACTTTACTGTACCTTTCCTCCCACTGTTCAACTTGTCAGGATCCAACCTGCTCTGTCTCCTCAGACACTACATATATATATATATATATATATATATATATATATATATATATATATATATATATAAGCAGTTGATTAGCACTTCTGATAACAAGTTCCGTTTATGTTCTGATAACAAGTTCAGTTTAAGTTCTGATAAAAAAAAAGTTAAGTTCAAGTCCCAGTGCTTCAATGATGACTAGCCTATAAAGCCTATGCTTCCACAATAATTCAGTTCTCATGAATTATGACGTAAATCTACCTATTCACCTATTCCACTGTTATCAAAACTTGTCCATAACACTTCCTGTTTTTCTTTTGTTGGGAGCGAGGGACCTCTAGTGTTGGGCTTGTGTCATGACACCTGAAGTGACATGTTACTGAATGTCATCCAATGTAAAACCATCGCCAAATGTCAACTCATGTATCTGAATAAAAGAGGTCTATTCACTAGTGATAGCGCTCTGCTTGAGGACAAGGATAATGATGATATGTTACCAATATGTAGATCAAAAACTATTTTTATAAGCTTCCAACCCTTACAGGAGCTACATGTAAATGTTTCACATTGTAGTAATGCATACCTGAAGCTTTCCCGAGCAAACAAGACCTTAAAGCACAGAGCAGGGTGCATCTCACTATAGAAAAACACTCACATGCCATTAATTGATAATTATTGCTATAGCATTACAAAACTGTATATGAATTACATGAATTACTACCACAGTTATTTAATCAAATGTATGTGCATGACATATCATATTTAGTAGAAGGACATATTTATTTTACAAGTAGAAGGGCTTTGCAGGATCATAGTCAGTCACTCAAGCTTTTCACATCTCATTCTGAAGAGAAAATGAACTGATGACTTGGTTAGCCAATTAATTACATGATGTATGCACTGTATCATCACTTACTTGTATTGTATAATTCATATTCATTCTCAGTTCTTCCTCAGTAATAACAAGGTGCACGAAATCTATAAATATTGACAGAAAATCATCTGGAAAATGTACTGTAGGTCTACTTGATCATGTCTTCAAAGTCTCATAAGCATGTATTTATACATAAATTGTGTATTTTCTCCCTTATTAGTATGAAACGTGGAATGTGTCCAAAATGGCACCCTTTTCCCTATATAGTGCACTACTTTTGGCCCTGGTCAAATGTAGTACAGTATATAGGGAATAAGATGCCGTTTCGGATGCAATCACAGTAATTATTTGGAAACATTTTGAGTTGCTTCTATTGATTGGCCCCTAACCTAACATGTTGCAATTTTGAGAGATTGTTGAAGGCTGGATTATACTTGGTCTAAGGATATGTCTGTAGACCACTAGATGGCAACCTCAGACAGTCAGTCGTTAGACCTACTGTAAAGCAACCCTGAGACTTGAGAACTACAAAACATACACACCAACCAAGCACAATTTCATCACTGAAACACAACAATCAGAATCAATCCCACTTGGAGATATTACATTTTTCTTGCAGGTAATTTATATAATAAAATACAAGTGAAATTGATGGATATCCAAAGCATATTTTTTCTCTCACAATTATCATTTTCTGTTGTTTTACTTTTTAGAAATACCTAAATTCTGTATGCAATACAAAGTCTACTTGCATTGACAAGACAGTAGCTGAGACTATCAAGACTCCTCTTCGGTTTAAGACGGGGTACAAATTGCACTATATTCATGTCTGCTTTATATTTATAATGCAATAAATGCACTAAATGTAACTCTGCTGTACCCACCACCTCCAACACTGAGTATGAAGTCATGTCTTCAGAAAAGTCAACAAATGAAATGTCCTACCTCTGTACCTTATTATGTACTGAATGCATCTGTTTGCAATAGCACATTATAAAAAATAAGAAACTAAATAAATATTTATTGATGTTTACAATTGGTCTGGTTATTTTATTTCTGAAAAGAACAAGTATTGAACAGTAGTTGCAAACAACAACCGTGTGCTACCAGCAGGTGGCGGTGTTGACCTAGTAAGTATGACTAGGCTAATACATTTGGCTAGGATTGAATGTAACATTCTGTAGCTGCAGCAGATTTCTTGCTCTCTCTCTTTCTCTCACTCTCTCGCTCGCTCTCTCTCTCTCTGCCATCCTCTCTCTAGTTGTATGCCTGATGGTACGGCAACAGCACCGTCCGCAACCGCAGGGCTCTCCAGAGGGGGGTGAGATCTGCCCAACGCATCACCGGGGGCACACCAGTGCCTGCCCTCCAGGACATCTACAGCACCCGGTGTCACAGGAAGGCCAAGAAGATCATCAAGGACCTCAGCCACCTGAGCCACGGCCTGTTCACCCCGCTATCATCCAGAAGGTGAGGTCAGTACAGGTGCATCCAAGCTGGGACCGAGAGACTGAAAAACAGATATCTCAAGGCCATCAGACTGTTAAATAACCATCGCTAGCTGGCCTCCAACCAATAATATGCCATTTAGCAGACACTTTTATCCAAAGCGACTTACAGTCGTGTGTGCATACATTTTTACGTATGGGTGGTCCCAGGGATCGAACCCACTACCCTGGCGTTACAAGCGCCATGCTCTACCAATTGAGCTACAGAGGACCACAAGTTCGGTACCCTGACCTGAACTTAGTCACTGTCACTAGCCGGCTACCACCTGGTTACTCAACCCTGCACCTTAGAGGCTGCTGCCCTAAGGTGAATAATAGACAAAGAACACTGGTCACTTTAATAATGGAACACTTGTCACTTTAATAATGTTTACATACTGTTTTACCCATTTCATATGTATATACTGTATTGCAGTCAAGGCCATGCTATTCAGCTATTGCTGTACATATACTATTCTATCCACGTATTCTTCAGATATACTATCCACATACTGTCCATAATGTCTATTAATCACAAATGTGGACACACCTACTCTTTCAAGGCTTTTCTTTATTTTTAGTATTTTCTACATTGTAGAATAATAGTGAAGACATCAAAACGATGAAATAACACATATGGAATCATGTAGTAACCAAAAAAGTGTTAAACAAATCAAAATATATTTTATATGTGAGATTCTTCAAATAGCCATCCTTTGCCTTGATGACAGCTTTGCACACTCTTGGCATTCTCTCAACCAGCTTCATGAGCTAGTCACCTGGAATGTATTTCAATTAAAAGGTGTGCCTTCTTAAAAGTTAATTTGTGGAATTTCTTTCCTTCTTAATGTGTTTGTGCCAATCAGTTGTGTTGTGACAAGGTAGGGGGGGTATACAGAATATAGCCCTATTTGGTAAAAGACCAAGTCCATATTATGGCAATAACAGCTCAAATAAGCAAAGAGAAACAACAGTCCATCATTACTTTAAGACATGAAGGTCAGTCAATACGGAACATTTCAAGAACTTTGAAAGTTTCTTCAAGTGCAGTCGCAAAAACCATCAAGCGCTATGATGAAACTGGCTCTCATGAGGACCACAACAGGAATGGAAGACCCAGAGTTACCTCTGCTGCAGAGGATAAGTTCATTAGAGTTACCAGCCTCAGAAATTGCAGCACAAATAAATGCTTCACAGAGTTCAAGTAACAGACACATCTCAACATCAACTGTTCAGAGGGGACTGTGTGAATCAGGCCTTAGACATTAAACCGGTGGAAATGTGTCCTTTGGTCTGGAGATATCCGGTTCCAACCGCCGTGTCTTTGTAAAACGCTGTGTGAGTGAACGGATTATCTCCGCATGTGTAGTTCCCACCGTAAAGCATGGAGGAGGAGGTGTTATGGTGTGAGGGTGCTTTGCTGGTGACACTGTCTGATTTCTTTAGAATTCAAGGCACACTTAACCAGCATGGCTACCACAGTATTCTACAGCGATACGCCATCCCATCTGGTTTGGGCTTAGTGGGACTATAATTTGTTTTTCAACAGGACAATGACCCAACACACCTCCAGGCTGTGTAAGGGCTATTTGACCAAGAAGGAGAGTGATGGAGTGCTGCATCAGATGACCTGGCCTCCACAATCCCCTGACCTCAACCCAATTGAGATGGTTTGGGATGAGTCGAACGGCAGAGTGAAGGAAAAGCAGCCAACAAGTGCTCTGCATATGTGGGAACTCCTTCAAGACTGCTGGAAAAGCATTCCAGGTTAAGCTGGTTGAGAGAATGCCAAGTGTGTAAAGCTGTCATCAAGGCAATGGGTGGCTATTTGAAGAATCTCAAATATAACATATTTTGATTTGTTTAACACTTTTTTGTTTACTACATGATTCCATATGTGTTATTTCATAGTTTTGATGTCTTCACTATTATTCTACAATGTAAAAAATACATTATTTTACTTTTAGATTTGTGTGTATTGTTATGTATTGTTAGATATTACTGCACTGTTGGAGCTAGGAACACAAGCATTTTGCTACATACGCAATAACATCTGCTAAATATGTGTATGCGACCAATAAAATTTGATTTGATATGATTTGATGCTGTGGTACATGTATCCATAGAGATGAATGTATCTCTATGCATGTCTCTCCCTGTCTTGTGCTGTGCTGTGCTGTGCTGTATGCCAGGCTTTGGTCAGGGAGGTCCATCTCTCTCTCTTGTCTCTCTCTCCATCTGATACTGTGGCCACGTTCTCTCCCTGTCTCTCCGTCTGTATCCTGTATGCCAGCCAGCAGGGTAAAGGGTTTGGTCAGGGAGGTCCAGCTGGCCCTCAATAACAGGGCTATGTGACATCAGAGAGATTTAGAAATGTACGTTAATTCAGTGTCTTTGGCTTAGTAAGGGTTGTCAGTGGCAGTGGTTATGTGACCTGCTGGCAGTGGGACTGGGATAGATTACTGTTGCGTCCCAAATGGCACCCTATCCTCTACATATTGCATTGCTTTTCACCCTGATCAAATGTTGTGCACTGTATAGGGAATAGGTGGCAATTTGGGACTGGAACATACAGTACTTAGAGAGAGAGAGAGAGAGATCCCTTTCATACACAGACCAAAATCCCACTAATTTACCATACCTGCTTTTTTTATACCAGCCTTTTTGTATATCTGAAAGGGGTAGTGGGTGAAAAACATGGCAAATTAAAAGCCATCTAAAGACCTACTCACTACACAGACCCTGTAACCAAAATACAGGAATCGAGTCTGTGTGAATGATTCTCTGCTTTTTTGCAGGTAAATTCATTAACACTTCCATTGTTTAACACCTCCCAAATGTTTAATGCAAACAGCCCCCATTGTTTAACAACACCCCCCACCCTTCCAATTTGCCAGTTATCCCCTGATATGTGTAAAAGGGGTATGTATACCTGCACATAAGCAGTAAATAAGGGGCTATTTGAAGGGTGATAGAAATATTTACAGGTAATATACCACATCTTCTGTCTGAAATGGGTAAAAGAGACACTGGTGGAGCTCTCCCGCCCTCCCTTATCGAAAGGCTCATTTCTACTTTCTCTATTTCTACCATCTGTCGTCGTTTTTCTTCCTTGGGCATCATGGCACCATCTCTCTCTGACAGAGTTATTGAACATCAGTACACTCCTTCACTCACTCATCACTCACTGGGACAGGCAGGCAAACCACTTAGAAGAATAGAAGAAGAATACTTCAATACTCTTCCTGAATAGACTCAGATTTCCTCATGCATAGGCTACTTTATGAATATGAAGATGGTCACTTAGTTGCATATTTGTGTCGAAAACATCAATCACTGTGAATTTCTTGAATTTAATGAATTTCATATCTGCAGGAGGACTCTAGATCTATCATACAGCTAGATCTATCATACAACTTTCATGTGGGTCCCTCAGATGATCAAAACCTTCTGAGGGTGTGTATCCCTTTCCTGCAGTCAATGACCAAAAGCGCCCTCTTTGGCCTCATGGGTGGAATGTTATTAATATTTTTCATAATTCTATAATTAATAAAAACTTTTTTTTGTGATGAAAATTTTGTGTTTCTATGTCAAACAGTTTTGTTATATTTTAGTCTTCTGTGATGAATATAAAGTGTAATATTGGGATGCAAACAAAAAATGTAATACATTTCAACTCTATATCTGACATGGTACAGGTGTTTTCTATTTTTTAAGCCCACAACCGTGTGTGAGGTGTATACTTTTGTTTCAAAGTAGATTTGTTTAAGACTACCAAGAATCACTCCGTGTGACCCTGATTTAGCCCATTGCAATAAAAAGTGAAAACGTTAAAAGGTTTAGGTACCTTTGAAGGCTGCTGAGTTTAGGTTGCAAATACTGCAGCAACACTGTTCAGAGTCTCTGGGGTTACAAGGTGTCATCTCTCTGCCCTCCCAACAGTCACAATTCATCTCCCTTTGTGTCGGCCATGTTGGGAAGTGTCACTTTAAGCCTCCTGATTATTCACAGCCACCTGTCCTTCCACTGTCTCGCTGTGTCCTCTGGAGTCATGCATAATATGGTCCTCTGTGGCTCAGTTGGTAGAGCATGGCGCTTGCGATGCCAGCATAGTGGGTCCCGGGACCACCCATATGTGAAATGTATGCATTCATGACTGTAAGTCGCTTTGGATAAAAGTGTCTGCGAAATTGCATGTATTTGAGTTTAAACTACATAAGATCATATTAGCCTGCTAAGGTAAGTGGTCTCAAACAAATGTCCACTTATTGTAATGGGTTCTTTGCATGTTAGTGGTGAGGTTATAGCAGCTCAGTGCCCAGTACTCCCCGTCAGTCCTCTGTTCCCTCTCATCTCTCTGTAACATAATGTGAGCTGATTTACTCATTTCTTCACTAGGCTGCTTACTTAAGAGCAGAAAAGGAAGTTGTGTGTCTTTGTCTATGTCTGTGTTCATACCTGTGCATACACACAAGCCTTAAGTGTGGGTGTGTGCGCGCGCACGTGTGTGTTTGTGTATGTGAATCTGTCCAAGCTGTTTCTCACATTCTGTGCTGTGATTCATAGCCGACGCTACATGGCTTTTTGTCTGCCTGATTTAGCAGAACAGACCGTCTTATTTTCTTAGTAATGCTACTGACAGATGTACCAACTTACTTCACCAACAGGGCACACACACACAGAGCAGAGCTACAGTGCTGCTGGCAGCAACCATTGGGTCTTGGCTCAGACCTCCACAAGACAGATTGGAAGCTCTCCTCAAGCTGTTCTTCCTTTACAACAACAGCTAGCATCTCCACATTGGGAGAATAGCAGCACTATATCAGTCTTTCCTCTCGCTCTCTCGCTCTCTCTCTCTTTCTCTCTTAGGGGTTAGGTTTATGATTAGAATTAGGGTTAGGTGTTTGGGGTTAGGGAAAATAAGATTTTGAATGGGAATCAATTGTTTGTTCCCACAAGGATAGTAAAACAAACGTGTGAGTGTGTGTGTTTGTGTGTGTGTGTTCATGTGAGAGAGGGAGAGAGGGAGAGAGAGAGAGAGAGACTACTGTTCAGTGTAGACCTACAATAATGATGCTGAATATCAGATGCTTTAGAAACTATTCAGGGATATTGCTGTAGTTAAAGGAGATTTTTAAAGTACCATGTTGTGGGTTTACCCATTCATCCACGTCGTGAGTGTTCTCAATGTCCGCCCCGTCTCAATACAAAAGCCCTTTGTCTGTCTGTCTGTCTGTCTGTCCGTCCCTCTCCTCTGTGAAGCTGAGACTTTAGCTTCACGATTCTCACGACATTTAATTTTTCACTGCTGCTGTCATGGAAACAAAATATGGTTTTCTATAATTTACACCACGGGAAAAATGCAACACATGATTACAAATGTGATTAGGCGCAGGAACTTTTCATGGTTTTTAACTCCTCAGACACAGTTTTCATAGAATAGTCTCTCATACGAAGTATAACAATTCTTTCTTACTATTTTTAATGCAAGATCTCTGGTTGGTAATCCAATGTATTTATTGCATATGGCAAAGAAAGGTGAATTTACAGTGCATTCGGAAAGTATTCAGACCTCTTGACTTTTTCCACATTTTGTTACGTTACAGCCCTATTCTGAAATGGATTAAAGTTTTTTCCCCTCATCAATCTACACCCAATACCCCATAATGACAAAGCAAAAACAGTTTTTTAGAATTTTTTTCAAATGTATAAAACATTTAAAACTGAAATATCACATTTACATAAGTATTCAGACCCTTTACCCAGTACCTTGTTGAAGCACCTTTGGCAGCGATTACAGCCTAGAGACTTATTGGGTATTACGCTACAAGCTTGGCACACCTGTATTTGGGGAGTTTCTCCCATTCTTCTCTGCAGATCCTCTCAAGCTCTGTCAGGTTGGATGGGGAGCGTCGCTGCACAGCTATTTTCAGGTCTCTCCAGAGATGTTTGATCAGGTTCAAGTCCGGGCTCTGGCTGGGCCACTCAAGGACATTCACAGCCACTCCTGCATTGTCTTGGCTGTGTGCTTAGGGTCGTTGTCCTGTTGGAAGGTGAACTTCACCCCAGTCTGAGGTCCTGAGCGCTCTGGAGCAGGTTTTCATCAAGGATCTCTCAAGTCCTGTGTAGCTCAGTTAGTAGAGCATGGCACTTGCAATGCCAGGGTTGTGGGTTCGTTTCCCATGGGGGGCCAGTATGAAAAATAAAAAATGTATGTACTCACTAACTGTAAGTCGCTCTGGATAAGAGTGTCTGCTAAATGACTAAAATGTAAAACATTTACTTAGCTCCTTTCATCTTTCCCTCGATCCTGACTAGTCTCCCAGTCCCTGCCGCTGAAAAACATCCCCACAGCATGATGCTGCCACCACCATGCTTCACCGTAGGGATGGTTCCAGGTTTCCTCCAGATGTGACGCCTGGCATTCAGGCCAAAGAGTTCAGTCTTGGTTTCATCAAACCAGAAAATCTTGTTTCTCATGGTCTGAGAGTCCTTTAGTTGCAAGCGGGCTGTCATGTGCCTTTTACTGAGGAGTAGCTTCTGTCTGGCCACTCTACTATAAAGGCTTGATTGGTGGAGTGCTGCAGAGATGGTTGTCCTTCTGGAAGGTTCTCCCATCTCCACAGAGGAACTCTGGAGCTTTGTCAGAGTGACCATCGGGTTCTTGGTCACTTCCCTCACCAAGGCCCTTCTCCCCCAACTGCTCAGTTTGGCCGAGCGGCCAGCACAAGGAAGAGTCTTGGTGGTTCCAAACTTCTTCCATTTAAGAGTGATGGAGGTCACTGTGTTCTTGGGGACCTTCAATGCTGAAGAAATGTTTTCCCCAGATCTGCACCTCGACACAAACCTGTCTCGGAGCTCTACAGACAATTCCTTCGACCTCATGGCTTGGTTTTTGCTCTGACATGCATTGTCAACTGTGGGACCTTATATAGACAGGTTTGTGCCTTTCCAAATCATGTCTAATCAATTGAACTTACCACAGGTGGACTCCAATCAAGTTGTAGAAACATCTCAAGGATGATCAATGCAAACAGGATGCACCTGAGCTCGATTTCGAGTCTCATATAAAAGGGTCTGAATACTTATGTAAATAAGGTATTTCAGTTTTTTATTTTTTATACATTTACAAAAATGTCAAAAAAACATGTTTTCGCTTAGTCATTATGGGGTATTGTGTGTAGATTGATGAGGAAACACATTAATTTAATCCATTTTAGAATAAGGCTGTAACGTAACAAAATGTGGAAAAAGTCCAGGGGTCTGAATACTTTCCGAATGCACTCTAATAATAAAAGAAAAGCTCAATAGAGAGATCAGATATGTTGTACTGGGGAGCGGTATCCAAAGGCACCTCAGCCACACGAGAGCCAACCGAAAACCCTAGTTAAAAGGCAGCATGTATTGTCCTGTGTGAATATAACAGTGTGTCCTGTCCCTCCCTCCATTCAGTCAAACCTGACCTCAGGTTTTCCATATCACATATGACATCTAGAACTCAACTGTAATGTTTTTAATTTCACTTGGTTTGGCTAGATGGTGATTTGATCCATCTCTTTGAAAGATCAACACGGCATTGATTGGAAGTCTTAGGACAAAAGGAGGACTGGCACACGTGACTGACACTCAGTTAACCTGACTCATACCCTTACAAAGGGGTGTCTTACAGTACGTTATTTGACTGGGCACCATGGAAAATCATGGGCTTAGAATTCTACCTGTGTATTTTTACAATGAAAAAGTTGTTTTCTAGCTGATCACTGGCATTTGTATCATTGCCTACTTGAACACTCTTGTGAACAAACAAACATTTTCGTAATTAGGAAGGGAAGATATTTGAATACCATGAACACAACTGTTAGATGATTTCAGGCAGAAATGCTCTCCTATTGACGTCACAGTTCCATATTAAAACAAAAAGTACAGGATCAGGAAAATAAATGCAGATTTATCAACTGGCTTCCTCCAAACAATCAAAGACCCGACTTACGAAGAGAGAGAGAGAAGGAAGCTCTGAAGTAATCTTACATACAGTTGAAGTCGGAAGTTTACATACACTTAGGTTGGAGTCATTAAAACTCGTTTTTCAACCACTCCACAACTTTCTTGTTAACAAACTATAGTTTTGGCATGTCGGTTAGGACATCTACTTTGTGCATGACACAAGTAATTTTTCCAACAATTGTTTACAGACAGATTATTTCACTTATAATTCACTGTATCACAATTCCAGTGGGTCAGAAGTTTACATACACTAAGTTGACTGTGCCTTTAAACAGCTTGGAAAATTCCAGAAAATGATGTCATGGCTTTAGAAGCTTCTGATAGGCTAATTGACATCAAATCAATCCCAGAACAACAGCAAAGGACCTTGTGAAGATGCTGGAGAAAACAGGTACAAAAGTATCTATATCCACAGTAAAACGAGTCCTATATCGACATAACCTAAAAGGCAGCTCAGCAAGGAAGAAGATACTGCTCCAAAACCACCATAAAAAAGCCAGACTACGGTTTGCAACTGCACATGGGGACAAAGATCGTACTTTTTGGAGAAATGTCCTCTGGTCTGATGAAACAATAATAGAACTGTTTGGCCATAATGACCATCGTTATGTTTGGAGGAAAAAGGGGGTTGCTTGCAAGCTGAAGAACACCATCCCAACCGTGAAGCACGGGGGTGGCAGCATCATGCTGTGGGGGTGCTTTGCTGCAGGAGGGACTGGTGCACTTCACAAAATAGATGGCATCATGAGGAAGGAAAATTATGTGGATATATTGAAGCAACATCTCAAGACATCAGTCAGGAAGTTAAAGCTTGGTCGCAAATGGGTCTTCCAAATGGACAATGACCCCAAGCATACTTCCAAAGTTGTGGCAAAATGGCTTAAGGACAACAAAGTCAAGTATTGGAGTGGCCATCACAAAGCCCTGACCTCAATCCTATGTGTGGGTAGAACTGAAAAAGCGTGTGCGAGCAAGGAGGCCTACAAACCTGACTCAGTTACACCAGCTCTGTCAGGAGGAATGGGTCAAAATTCACCCAACTTATTGTGGGAAGCTTGTGGAAGGCTACCCGAAATGTTTGACCCAAGTTAAACAATTTAAAGACAATGCTACCAAATACTAATTGAGTGTATGTAAACTTCTGACCCACTGGGAATGTGATGAAAGAAATAAAAGCTGAAATAAATCATTCTCTCTACTATTATTCTGACATTTCACATTCTTAAAATAAAGTGGTGATCCTAACTGACCTAAGACAGGGCATTTTTACTAGAGTTAAATGTCAGGAATTGTGAAAAACTGAGTTTAAATGTATTTGGCTAAGGTGTATGTAAACTTCCGACTTCAACTGTAGGAATTTCTTCAGATAGAGCAGCAGACAGTGTTGCATAGTAACAGGGCTGTATTTCAGTATCTTACCTGGGCCCAGCCAGGCATTGATTAAAAAACGTCTGCTTTATCTTCCAACCCCATTCCTTTTGTTGTGTGGTGATGCACACATGCGCACACACGCACACGCACACAAACACACATCATTACGCACACGCACCCTGCACATCTCCACAAACCTATTTTATTTATGACTGCCATTAGACATCTGAGAGGTATTTAGCCTAATGAGTGAGGAAGGAAGAGGAGGATGAGAGCGAGAAAGAGAAAACTGTGTGGAGAAACTGGTGAAGTATTACTTTCCTGTGAGATAGGAATAACAACATCAAAAGAGGATTACAGTTATTTGAACTGTTGCCAGCATACACCACTCTCTCTCAATATCCACAACATCCTTAGCATTTCATCTGGATGCTTTCACCACTGAACTCTGAGCAACATTGTAAGTCAAAAATTGGGCCAAACATGTTGAGGGACATCAGTGGAAGGATTATAGCTACAGATGTAGGATCTTAATTTGAGCCAGTTTTCTACAGCAGGAAAATAATCCTGCAGCAACAGGAAATTGGGTTACTATGTTGATTATAATTAATGGACATTTTTGTATGGGTTGATATTTTTCGTTAGAGCAAATCGAGTCTAAAATTTCAAAGTAGAAATTACAAACTTTAGAAGCCTTTTTAAAACTCAAATACAGTACAAATTCTCAACAACAAAATAGTGATCAAATTAAGAACCTACATCTGTACATCACATACTGTACAGTACCTTTCTCAAATGCCATGACCTATTCAACTTGTGCCGACGAAGCCAGGAAGGGGCAATTAAATGTCACCTAGTGTGTCCCCAGTCGCTATACATGGAGGGTTTGGTGTTGGCATGGGTTGGCATGGTCTGTGTTGTCACTCCTCATTGGCATTAGGCTACAGGCCATTACCACCATGATTGTGAATGTCACGTCTAGGCTTGTATAGTCTTGGATAAAGTATCTGGTAGAGCAGGTGAAGTGGGTATGTCTCCCTATGATGTAAAACAGCAAGGAAATACACGCTTTAGATACATACCTGATGTTGTCATGACAACAAGCTCAACATTCACTGGCTGCTTTATCTCATATTGGGGACAGTCCTTCTGTACTTAATGTGAATGAACTTCGAAAGTAAGAAAGATAAAATGTTATCTAGAGTCGAATATAATTTATCTAGAAGTCTAAAGACAGTTTGTTTATCTTGTTTTTCTTCAGCATCCTTCTTTCTCTCTTTATTTCTTTCATTTTTTTTTTTTAGGGGGTAGATCATCTTTAATATTGCAGATAGATTGTAACTTCCATCAATGCAATTGTCTGCATCACTTCCAATCCCCCATATGTTTTTTTTCTCGCAAATATATACAGTGGGGAAAAAAAGTATTTAGTCAGCCACCAATTGTGCAAGTTCTCCCACTTAAAAAGATGAGAGAGGCCTGTAATTTTCATCATAGGTACACGTCAACTATGACAGACAAAATGAGAAAATAAAATCCAGAAAATCACATTGTAGGATTTTTAATGAATTTATTTGCAAATTATGGTGGAAAATAAGTATTTGTACTTTGTTATATACCCTTTGTTGGCAATGACACAGGTCAAACGTTTTCTGTAAGTCTTCACAAGGTTTTCACACACTGTTGCTGGTATTTTGGCCCATTCCTCCATGCAGATCTCCTCTAGAGCAGTGATGTTTTGGGGCTGTCGCTGGGCAACACGGACTTTCAACTCCCTCCAAAGATTTTCTATGGGGTTGAGATCTGGAGACTGGCTAGGCCACTCCAGGACCTTGAAATGCTTCTTACGAAGCCACTCCTTTGTTGCCCGGGCGGTGTGTTTGGGATCATTGTCATGCTGAAAAACCCAGCCACGTTTCATCTTCAATGCCCTTGCTGATGGAAGGAGGTTTTCACTAAAAATCTCACGATACATGGCCCCATTCATTCTTTCCTTTACACAGATCAGTCGTACTGGTCCCTTTGCAGAAAAACAGCCCCAAAGCATGATGTTTCCACCCCCATGCTTCACAGTAGGTATGGTGTTCTTTGGATGCAACTCAGCATTATTTGTCCTCCAAACACGACGAGTTGACATTTTACCAAAAAGTTCTATTTTGGTTTCATCTGACCATATGACATTCTCCCAATCCTCTTCTGGATCATCCAAATGCACTCTAGCAAACTTCAGACGGGCCTGGACATGTACTGGCTTAAGCGGGGGGACACGTCTGGCACTGCAGGATTTGAGTCCCTGGCGGCGTAGTGTGTTACTAATGGTAGGCTTTGTTACTTTGGTCCCAGCTCTCTGCAGGTCATTCACTAGGTCCCCCCGTGTGGTTCTGGGATTTTTGCTCACCGTTCTTGTGATCATTTTGACCCCACGGGGTGAGATCTTGCGTGGAGCCCCAGATCGAGGGAGATTATCAGTGGTCTTGTATGTCTTCCATTTCCTAATAATTGCTCCCACAGTTGATTTCTTCAAACCAAGCTGCTTACCTATTGCAGATTCAGTCTTCCCAGCCTGGTGCAGGTCTACAATTTTGTTTCTGGTGTCGTTTGACAGCTCTTTGGTCTTGGCCATAGTGGAGTTTGGAGTGTGACTGTTTGAGGTTGTGGACAGGTGTCTTTTATACTGATAACAAGTTCAATCAGGTGCCATTAATACAGGTAACGAGTGGAGGACAGAGGAGCCTCTTAAAGAAGAAGTTACAGGTCTGTGAGAGCCAGAAATCTGGCTTGTTTGTAGGTGACCAAATCCTTATTTTCCACCATAATTTGCAAATAAATTCATAAAAAATCCTACAATGTGATTTTCTGGAGAAAAAAAATCTCAATTTGTCTGTCATAGTTGACGTGTACCTATGATGAAAATTACAGGCCTCTCTCATCTTTTTAAGTGGGAGAACTTGCACAATTGGTGGCTGACTAAATACTTTTTTCCCCCACTGTATATACATACATATATACATATACACATACATACACATATATATACATACATACACACATACACATACATACACATATATATACATACATACATACACACACACAAATCATTTTTTAAATTATATTTCCCTTCATTACTTTCCAACCCCACCACCCCTTCCCCAATTGGAGTAAACTAGTGAACAACAGCTCTTAGGCCTCTACTTCCAGCCCATACACATACTATATACATTTTATGGACACAGTCAATTTCTACAATAATTATATTTTGTTTGTTTTTACTCCTGAACTTCCTCCGATCATTTTCATGATGTCCATCTGGTTTGCTTCTATATGCCATATTTTTCTAACTGTGCTCTTTCACAAAAGCTCTCAACCTATTCTTTCCTTCCTTCCTTCCTTCCTTCCTTCCTTCCTTCCTTCCTTCCTTCCTTCCTTCCTTCCTTCCTTCCTTCCTTCCTTCCTTCCTTCCTTCCTTCCTTCCTTCCTTCCTTCCTTCCTTCCTTCCTTCCTTCCTTCCTTCCGTCCGTCCTTCCTTCCTTCCTGTAAGACCTAGAACTAGGCTGTGGCCAGTGAGACCTGATCCCACAATGCCCCTCTCTTCTCTTTTTACATAACCAAACAACATCCACATCACCGTATGTTCCTGTCCACTTTTGAGTACATTCTAAGAACATCCATTCCTTCCAGACTGTGGATGTATTCTAAGTGCTACTCTGAACAGCTCCCTTGTCACTCCTCAATAGCAGGACAACCATGATCCACCAGTATCTATTTTAGGCCTCTTTCTAGTGAAACCAAACACTAAGCTCCAGACTTCAGACCATACCCTCCCTGTCCAGATGTTATACCCCCCCCCCCCCCCATGGTAGATACCTCCTCCTGATCACTGCTCACTTTGCAGTGTATAGATGCATTCCACTTCAAGAGGCAGGAAGCTAAACACACATCTCACGCTCCCCCATCCAACTAAGGCACATGCTCCGGCCTGTAGCCATGGTTTCCTATAGGGGAGTCAGCCGAGTGACGGGAACAAAGGCAGGTGCCTGCAGTGTCCTGCTTCCCCCTTTGTCTCCCTCCCACTCTCTCTTTTTCTCCCCTCCCCTCTCTGCACCGCCCTTGGGGCCTTATACACACACATACATTAGATTGATTACTAATGGTGACGTGTGATCTCTCCAGATCACATTTATAACGTTGTCTGTGCCTCGACGAGAGGCTTTTAAAATAATAAAGCTAATTGTGTTCTGAATCCTTGTTCATAGACAAATGGTGGAAATATATTCCTCATCTAGGCCTTTTCAAGTGGTGACATAAAATTTTGATAATGCTTTAGTGGAGTAGCAATCATAACAATCTGTCTGTATGTGCCAATGAACATAATAAGGGGTGGGAGGGCAGCGAGACACAGACAGTAGCTAGACACAATACAACACACACACACAATACAGACTAATAATCAGCGCTACAGTATGTAATCAGCTGACCTAATTTAGCATATTAATCAGCACAGCAGCACCAAGGAGTAGGAAGGACAGAGAGAGCAGCGGCTAGCTAGTTGCTAGTCTCTCCATTAGTGCAGTTCAGAGGAGGCTTGGCAAGAGTGTAACACACCCACGCACACACACACACACACACTAACGGCTGAGGGGTCTGTGCTGGAGGCTTCCTTGTTGTTTGGCTTGTGCAGGCACATGACATGGATGGGAGCCAAATCCACAGGGCGAGAGCCTGTGTGTGTGTGTGTGTGTGTGTGTGTGTGTGTGTTCAGACTCTGTCACATTATACACATCAGATGCCTCGGCCTTTGTGTGCTGTTGCCTGGTGATCACAAATAGAGGCGGGGAGTGTGTGTGTGTCTGTGTGTGTGTGTGTGTGTGTATGAGTATATGTGTGTGTGTGTGTGGGGGGGTATTTTTAGTAAATAGATTGCAGTGAATTATTTATCTGGTATTGTCATTCACTAGAGATTACTTTTGTGAAATAGCTTTTTCATAGAAAATGGGATCATGCAGGTAAATATACATCCTCATGTGCACAAATAAACGGATTAGACTGAACCAATGATTACTCAACCAGGTAAACACTGTGTGTGTGATTGTGTGTGCGTGCATGTGAGAGTGTGTGCGTGGGCGTGTGTGTTCCTAACGTGCTTGACTGCGTCCCAGACATGTTGTTGGCCTCGTCCACTTTCATACGTCGCGATGTGTCCTAGAAACAAGGAGGTGATTTCTGTTGAGTCTGTAAAAACAAACCAGTTTGAAAGAATTACTTGATGCTCTCACAGGGTCACGGGGAACCACAGGGAACATTAAACAATTGCTCATCATGTCTGACTGTGTGACTCAGTGGAGGAGCGGTGTGGGTGAGATATAGGGTCATGGTAGTGCTGCAGGTGCCAGGGATGGGGCTCAGGGTGGGTTATGGGTGGGGGCTGGGGATGCCAGGTTTTGAGGCGATTTGGGGCAGGGTTGGGGGTTGGGGTGGTGCAAGGGGTGGGGGTGCAGAGTTTGGGTGTATGGGGGGGTTGAGGGGGGAGACAACGGCAGGCTAGTCCCTGAGACTAATGATCCCTCCCTGTCATCATTGCAGTAACCATTAAAATGTCTTTAGAGATGGGTTAGTAATACTATAACAGGATGTGATGATGATGTTATACAAATAATAACAGTATCATCAACCTCGATACAGATAACAAAGATAGGGCTCAGGATGTCTTCCTGTTTTCCCTCAGGTGGCTAAGTCATACACCCTTGACACGTCTTCACTGTAGGAATGCCTGGAAACACAACATCACACCAGTATGCTAGACAAAGTACACAGACAAATTCATGTAGCTCTCATCTATCCCTGGAAATGTGTGGTAGAATAGAAGAGCCCTTCACACAAGCCTACAAAGGAGAGGGTAGCGAGAGTGAGGATACGTAGTGACATAGTGTGTCGTCCCAAATGGCACCCTATTTTCTATATATTGCACTACTTTTGACTAAGGCCCAGACACAGATGTAGTGGCTGAATCATGCTCTACTGAGCCCTGTCATACTTTCCCTTTATGAGCCAAACTGTCTGAATCGGAAATTGATGGCTTCGGATGTGCTGGCCTGGCTCTGCACTGCGGCAGAGGCAAAAGCAGAGGAAGCGGCAGTGTGTGTGTGTGTGTGTGTGTGCGTGTGTGTGTGTGTGTGTGAGCATGCAGAAGCAGACAGCTCATCAGTAATCAGAGAGCGGTGTTCACTTTTTCTCTACAGGCATTAATTAGTGCACACACATGCAGGCAAGCGCACCTCGGCTAATGAACAAAACCTAAGCGCACACACACACTGATTATGTAGCCAACACACACCACTTACCTTATCAATTAACAGATGTGGCCAGCAGTCTGCTGATTTCCTCTGCTGTGTCCTTGCAGATCTTGGTGCCAGGAACAAGGGCTTGACATTACACAACAGAACACAACAGAACTCAGGGCTATTTGGTCAGATCACAGCAGGGGTCCCCTCTGGCCTGCTCAGCTCCAACCCTCTGTCTCTCTATCTCCAACAGGGAGGGGAGACCATGTGTCACTAGCCCAGTACAGGATTTAGTTATTAGTTTAGCTACACATGTAAAAACACATATAACAAGGCTATGGACACACATAGTAAAACTGAACCACACAAAATTCTGAGGGGGCACAAAGTACGTGAGGATGGCTGGGGGTGGTCCGGATGGGTGCTAGAATTTAGCATTTTTCAAACACCTGAAACAGATTTTCTTGCAGTCTAGAGCCATAATAATGATGCTTAATTCTATGTAAAAAAAAAATATATATGGTTATTTTTCTGCATGTCTAATCATACCTCTGTCTGTTTTTTATTTTATCTCTGCTAAAATCTGGGTAAAAGATTGTGAGTCTTATTCAGGACATTAGTAATTGCTTGCTTTTCTAAAGTCTACCAACCTTGCCAGCTGTCACGATCGTCGTAATGAGTGGACCAAGGCGCAGCGTGAAATGCGTACATCTTTTATTGAGTTCTATTAACAATAACAAAACAACAAAATGAAACGTGAAGTCCTCGGTCATAAACACAAACCTACACGGAACAAGATCCCACAAATGACAAGTGCACAACAGGCTGCCTAAGTATGGTTCCCAATCAGAGACAACGAGCCACAGCTGTCTCTAATTGGGAACCACCCCGGCCAACATAGAAACACAAAACCTAGAACATGAACATAGAAAACGAAACATGGAAACTACACATAGAAACTAACACCCTGGCTCAACATATAAGAGTCCCCAGAGCCAGGGCGTGACACCAGCAGCAATGCCAGCTAAGATAGTTAGACAAGCTATCTACTCTAACTTGATTGATAGCCTGAAATGGCTTCTTGGTAGCTAGTTATGAGGTTGGGAGATTGGGAACCTATCTTGGCTAGCTAAAGCCAACTTCATAAAATTGCTAAATGGCTGGTAGTATTACACAGCAACAAATAAACCAAAAAAAAACATATATATTTTTTAAACCGGACAAATCTGACGGGGCACGTGCCCCTGTGCCTCCTATGGGCATGACGCCTCTGACACTAGGTAGGATAAAAAAAGCTGCTAAGAACGCAATAAGGAAATTTTACCACCAAATACAGTATTAGGGCTAATCCTGGAAGCTCATTGGACTGTGCCACGTTGCCACGACGATGCCAGGATACCAATTCCCCTTAACCAGCATGCCCTGGAGTTAGTGCACGGGCCATGGATGACTGAGCAATGGAGCTTTCTCTGCCTGTCCAGATCTTGGCCTAATTTACTGCGACTGCCGGCGTATGTAGCCCATTTAAATGCCCTCACGCCGAGTGTGAGCGGGCGCAGTGTGGAGTGCCGGCTTGGTTACATCGTATTCATCCACCCCAGGTGACAGTGGTGGGACTACCCAGTTGACTCATGTAGCCTGTTGGAGTCCCTGGTTCAAGGACTAATAGGACTGTACCATGGCCTTGTGAGAGATTAGGGTCAAAGTCAGTAGGGAGAAAACGTTTAGACATGTTCTGAAATGGGGGAGGGACTGCCTGAATTTGTCCAATAAGATTTGAGTTTTCTATTGTAAAACGCTTTGCTACATTGTGCCCTACTGAACACAACCTAGGTAAAGCCTCACACCGGCTCCACAGTCTCACAGCCTTCAGAGGAATCATTAACTCACTAGAACTGTTGTGGACATGCTCAGTTTGAAACCAACTGTATTGTTGTGTTCTAAAAGCAACAGGGAGATTTGGAAACCCACATGCTCAGTTTGAAACCAACCGTATTGTTGTGTTCTAAAAGCAACAGGGGGATTTGGAAACCTGTCTTCCCGTTGGGGAAGTTAATCCACTGTGGAACTGTGTTCCTCTCTAATGCATAGAGAGGGATTTAAACAGTGACAGTCACTAGGTGGAAAAATACAATTTCACAGATGGCAGAGAGAGAGAGAGAGAGAGAGAGAGAGAGAGAGAGAGAGAGAGAGAGAGAGAGCAACTCTTTGGTAAACAACTAACAAAACATATCATCCCTGATCCTGACAATACACAAGTAAGGATAGATTAAACGTCTGTACCGTACACACACCATTGTTTAACATCATGGAGGTGGATTTGACTTGCAGATGTGACCTGAAGGCATGGGTTCCTCCGAGTAATTAGAGCTGGGTATCTGGGGACCCAAAGTAAGATGTTGAGACAGGCTGTGTGAGGTCACATTGACCAGGCAGTGGGTTGGGGTTGGCACCTATGCCACATGTCTCCTGGCAACGGGCCTGTCTTAGGCACCCACCAGCAGCTGTGATGTTTAAACTGCACAGGCATGCACACATGCACACAAATGGGCTCGAGCACAGACACACACACACGTGCACACACGCTCACATGCGTGCACGCACAAACACACACACGCACACACTCCCAGATGTGGCACGTTGGGAGACAGATGTTGTGTCACTGAGGAGAAGACAGGGAGGGAACGAGGGAAGGTTTCAAACAGATTGTAGAGGGGATGAGGGGAAGGTGTGCCAAGAGTGCAACCTGTCTGTCTGTCTGTCTGTCTGTCACAGTACAGAACATCCCTGGGAGGGGAATTATACTAGGAGGATACAGAAGTGTTCTGTACTTTCATGTTTTTTACTGTGTGTGTTGATCAGGAAACTACAGTGTGGAGCTTCCTTATTTTCCTTTATTAGTGACATTATGTTCTAGGATTGAGTGCACTAGATCTGAGTGCTCATCTGAGTGCACTCTAATGCCTGCCTGAAAACCCTGTGTGAGAGATGCTATTCTGATCCACTCTCTCTTCTCTCTCCAAACTAAATGGAGAAGGCAAAGTTAATTGCAATGATTCTCATGGAGTTATCTGTCTGATGACCTCACTGCAGGTTTAAACTGATAAGACAAGAGTGATTGGCCAGTCTACTGGGGTTAATGTGCCTGATCATTAAAGCGAGAGCTACTTGATATGTGGTGTGGCCTTTCTATATGGAAGTCAATGAGACACACTCACACACGCACGAATGCACACACACGATTGATAGGGCAGAGCTGTCAATTGGCTGACATTATCAATGACGTGTCAATGACGTGTGATTGAGCCACAAGATGAGCAATCATTGTCCTTTGAGACAGTGTCAATAGCCTCTTAGACAGATACTGTATGTTGCCAGGACAATCATAAATTAAACCAAAATGTATAACATTTTCCTTTAATTAATTGGTTCATTTGTGGGTGTCTGAGAGTTACGTTAGTTAAGAAATACAACTGAAACTGTAACTCATGGTGCCAGTCATGGCAAGCTTTATTAGCAGAGCAAAAGAAAAGGAGAGAAGGTCCAATGTCCAAAATACATTTCAAACAAATACATGTCAACCAAAAAAAAGCTAAGAAAATAGCAATAATAGCTATCAAATAAATATTCACATCAACAACAACATATTGGTCTTTCATCGTTTGAATCAAACATTTTCCTGCGACATTGTTTAAAGATGTCTTTACAAAGATTATAAAACAAGATATGTACAATCATACAACTGTTATAGGACATGCTAGGAGTTGGACTGCATCAACGTACCACACACTGACTGTACTACACATTGGCTGGCTGCATATTATTAACTGATATGGTCCATGAAATGCTTCTATATCCAATACCTGAGCCCCCTGTATGAGCTTGGAACTTGGAACTATAAAAAAAATAATAATAATATTCTGAATCCAAATTCCGATCAACCCTTGAGATAGAAGCGGAATGTGGAGTTACACTGTATGTGGATATGTCCTGTTATATGATTCGCCCTCTTTCACTCCCTATCTGAGCTACGAACCAACCGAGAGACTCAGAGGAGCCAGTGTGAGTCTCGATTGGTTTCCTGTGTTGAACTGTTGCTAGGCGTTGCTGAGGAATTCCAGTGTGTGACCAACAAGGAACTAGAGCCTTTGTACAAGTCAAATCACTCCTCTAGTCATTGGGACTGACTGACTGACTAACACAGCTCACCACATACACTACCGGTCAAAACTTTTAGAACATCTACTCATTTAAGGGTTTTTCTTTATTTTTACTATTTTCTACATCGTAGAATAATAGGGAAGACATCAAAACTATGAAATAACACATATGGAATAATGTAGTAACCAAAAAAGTGTTAAACAAATCAAAATATATTTTATATTCGAGATTCTTCAAATAGCCACCCTTTGCCTTGATGACAGCTTTGCACACTCTTGGCATTCTCTCAACCACCTTCACCTGGAATGCTTTTCCAACAGTCTTGAAGGAGTTCCCACATATGCTGAGCACTTGTTGGCTGCTTTTCCTTCACTCTGCCGTCCGACTCATCCCAAACCATCTCAATTTGGTTGAGGTCGGGGGATTGTGGAGGCCATGTCATCTGATGCAGCACTCCATCACTCTCCTTCTTGGTAAAATAGACCTTACACAGCCTGGAGGTGTGTTGTGTCACTGTCCTGTTGAAAAACAAATGATAGTCCCACTAAGCCCAAACCAGATGGGATGGCATATCGCTGCAGAATGCTGTGGTAGCCATGCTGGTTAAGTGTGCCTTGAATTCTAAATAAATCACAGACAGTGTCAACAGCAAAGCACCCCACACAATAACACCTCCTCCTCCATGCTTTACGGTGGGAAATACACATGCGGAGATCATCCGTTCACCCTCACCGCGTCTCACAAAGACACGGCAGTAGGAACCAAAAATCTACAATTTGGACTCCAGACCAAAGGAACAAATTTCCACCGGTCTAATGTCCATTGCTCGTGTTTCTTGGCCAAAGCAAGTCTTCTTATTGGTGTCCTTTAGTAGTGGTTTCTTTGCAGCAATTAGACCATGAAGGCCTGATTCACACAGTCTCCTCTGAACAGTTGATGTTGAGATGTGTCTGTTACTTGAACTCTGTGAAGCATTTATTTGGGCTGCAATTTCTGAGGCTGGTAACTCTAATGAACTTATCCTCTGCAGCAGAGGTAACTCTGGGTCTTCCATTCCTGTGGTGGTCCTCATGAGAGCCAGTTTCATCATAGCGCTTGATGGTTTTTGCGACTGCACTTAAAGAAACTTTCAAAGCTCTTGACATTTTCCGTATTGTCGTAAAGTAATGATGGACTGTCGTTTCGCTTTGCTTATTTGAGCTGTTCTTGCCATAATATGGACTTGGTCTTTTACCAATTAGGGCTATCTTCTGTATACCCCCCCTACCTTGTCACAACACAACTGATTGGCTCAAATGCATCAAGGAAATAAATTCCACAAATTAACTTTTAAGAAGGCACACCTATTAATTGAAATGCATTCCCCATAACTACCTCATGAAGCTTGTTGAGAGAATGCCAATAGTGTGCAAAGCTGTCATCAAAGCAAAGGGTGGCTAGTTGAAGAATCTCAAATATTAATTTGTTTAACACTTTTTTGGTTACTACATGATTCCATATGTGTTATTTCATAGTTTTGATGTCTCCCCTATTATTCTACAATGTAGAAAATAGTAAAAATAAAAAACTTTTGACCTGTAGTGTAGGTTAACAAACACAGTCTCAGTCACAAAACAAAAACAAGGATTCAATTCACGCTTTAATACGAAAATTAAAACCCAATAAACCCAAAAACGAATAATGGAAAAAAATATATTTATTTGGACAGGGCCAGCCTGTGCATTTTGTTAGTCAGTTGTTTGAAGTTAGGAGGCTTCCACATAACGTACCCCAATGCAAAATGCTTCAACAAGCCAACAGTGGCTGGAGCCTAATGTCTTAGACCAGATCATCTCTTCTTAGTCTTATTTCCTTTACTCACTCACTGACCCCCTTTACTCTCAAATTCAAAACTTGTTTAGTGGCACAGCAAGCCATGTCATTGGTTACCCTACATACCAGTGGCTACTGACGGGTAGAAGAAGAGGAAGGGGCAAACACAGATGGGACGGCAGCTTTTTTTTACAGCAGAAATGATGATGGTTCAGTTTGTTTTGCCATACTGTACATAGGCTACTGTATGTCCATGGAGCTGTAGCATGACATATCTCCCAAATTGATCCCAAAGCTGCATTGTTATTGCCACTCGATCAGTTGACTTTGCATCACAATCACTTGAATCATTATTGCTTGATGGTTAAAGCAGAGATAGATCAATGCCATACTGTACACACACATGTATAACCATGAAGCCAAAGATTTAAGCAAAAAAAGGGTAATAGTTTAGCGACATATTGGACTGGACTGCCCTCCATGTTGGTGGGACTTAAGTGCTGCTCATTGGAGGTTTACTAGAGGAACGAGAGAAAGAGATATAGAAGGATGAAAATAAATATTTAGGAAGAGTAAGAGAGTAAAGGAAATGGAGTGCTACATAAGATTGTTGAAAATGAAATAAATCAACAGCCATATTTTCAACAATCAGGATGAACTTGGGGGATATGATGTGAAAGCCATAATATAAACTGCACATGGTTTGATCTTTGTTGGTTATCAACAGTGTTTCCCCTAGGATTTTCTTCAGCAGCGGTGGCAAAGTTAGCGTGTGGGGAGGGTTAAAACTTTTCTTCACAAGGTAAAAACTTTGTCACACGTTGCACATTTTCCAATTTGGACAAATCACCATGTGCCTAAATAATTGGGATGTCACACCATCATGGTTGCATACCGTTACTGTAACAGGTGAGAACAATAGTTAGCTGATGATCAAAAAGCCAAGGTACAGTACTGAAAAATATGAGATATGCTCTGGAGAGTACTTCAGGACAAAGTGGACAGCAAGGTGTCCACCTGTTCTGAATATATTTCACTTTGAGGGGGGTGGGGGTGGAAGGATTCAACATGGAAGAAAGCTTTCTCTTGATAAAGCCCTCGTGATGAAACCCAACACGAGTGGCCAATGGCGTGGCCTCCGACCAAACATTTTAGAGGCCGTCCTCTTGGCCGCAGACAAAATGTTGCTGTTTTAAAGCTAATTGGCTACAGTTCTACACATTTTGTCATGGCTTATGCTGTGTTCTTATGCTCTCTGAGTGACTCAAACATTATAACAAGATCAATATGGGCCTATGCCCTGAATGGAATTTTAGATTCTTCCTGACTGTCTAGTTTTTATTTTGGTGATTGTTCGTTATCAAAGATGATCTAATTAAAAAATATATAGATCCATTATCTTTTCTGCATGCTTTATATCTGGTTTTAGACCCAACGTTGCTAAATGAATATAGGGGAAACACTGATCAAAATCCTAATAATGTGATGCTACAACATTTTATCCTGTAGTAGGACTTCGTAAACTGGAAATCACATTTCCCCAGTGGATTCAGCCTGACAGTTTTTAAGCAGCATATTCTAGTTTCAAACAGACAGTCCTTTAAAGAATCACCTCAGGGGAATTTCAACACTGACCTGGTTATTACCATATGTAACTTCACAGATCTCTTGACAGATCTACATTAAACCATGTTGTGTCTATGGCCCAGGTTAGAACAATACCCCACTCCCTAGAAGTCATTTCCTCTTTATCAAATGGTGGGAGAGAACTGGATTTCTATCACTCCAGTACATGTACTTAATTTTTTTTACTTCCCTCTTTTCTTTGCTTATCCCAAAGCTCCATTATCTATCTGTTCTGTACATTGCCTCTTTAGCCTGGTACTCCACTGACTGAGAGCCTAGAAGAGCGCGGATGGCTCACACTTCTCAGTCTAGCCTGGTGTCTGCCTGTCTGTCTGCCTGTATGTGTCTCTGCCTGTCTGCCTGCCTGCCTGCCTGTCTGTCTGTCTGTCTAGACCTGCTGCTCTTATCACGGCCGAGACAATGAGACGTGTAATGGCCCTCTGTTCTCGCTGTGGTCAAATCAAACACTCCTCTCTTTACACCTCTCTCAATCAGCCCCCGTTGGGCCTAAATCAAGAAGAGCACAAACACCCATTTGGGAGACCACCGATTTGCTCACGTTGCTACACCTTATAGTTCCCACTCTGCAGTGTAGGAGGGATACAATGTTCAGTAATGTTTGATATATTTTTTGACTTGAGAGGCATTTTTTCTTCACAAGGTTAAAACTTTGTCACTTGTTGCACATTTTCCAATTTGGACAAATCACCATGTGCCTAAATAATTGGGATGTCACACCATCATGGTTGCATACCGTTACTGTAACAGGTGAGAACAATAGTTAGCTGATGATCAAAAAGCCAAGGTACAGTACTGAAAAATATGAGATATGCTCTGGAGAGTACTTCAGGACAACGTGGACAGCAAGGTGTCCACCTGTTCTGAATTGATTTCACTTTGAGGGGGAGTGAGGAAGGATTCAACATGGAAGAAGAGCCTTCTCTTGATTAAGCCATCGTGATGAAACCCACCCCCACCTTCCCCGAACCAAACAGTCAGGGGGTCTGGGGAATCGGAGCAGCGTGTGGGAGGGGAGCGACACCCCCCGCCCTGGGTCTCCACTCACATTACGGAGCAGCTCTTGGTCTTCTCCTTCTTGAAGGTAGAGGAGAGCAGCTCGGAGCGGCTGGGGAGGTGGAGGAGTCTCTTGGAGAGGTGTCGGGTGGGGCTGGTCTTGGGGAGCGGCTGGAGCTTGTTGATGCAAGCCAGAGCGGCCGTCCGGAACACACTGTGGATACTCTTCTCTGAGGTGAACGCTGAACACTCCAGGTAGGCCTCAGCGCCTAGCTGCTTGGCCATGGAGGAACCCTGGGATAGGAGGGAAGAGGGGGGCAGAGGAGAGAGTGGGTGAGAACTTGTTCTGTTCCATACAACAGATAAAACAGCTCTATCTGAACATCGCACCCTCCTGAACAGACCCAGTGTGTGTGTGTGTGTATGTGTGTTTGTGTGTGCGCGATCTCAGTCTCACCTGCTCATGGGTGATGGGGACCTGTTTCTGATTGGACAGCTCCATCAGGGTGCAGACATCAGTGCGCAGGTCGGTCTTACAGCCAATTAGAAGAATGCGTGTGCTGGGGCAGAAATCTAGGATCTCTGTCTTCCACTGGAAAGACAACAGAGCAGATATTTACTCACATGTAGTCATGATAATGAACAAGTCATGATTAGGGATAAGTCCAGATAGAGATCCTGAATTCATTCCTAATTGGAATAAATGGCTGTAGAGGCATAGGTGATGCATTTCCTGTTTTTACTTATACAGGAAAATATAAGTAAGGCATGTGATATTTCAGAAATATAAAAATTGTCAACCCAAAATACAGTTAATATGGATTTTATACCAATCTTCTGTATAAATAGCCTCTAAAATATATGTAAACAGACCATAAATGTCTCAATTTATATTTTCTTGGAAAGCTGTGAGTGTTATTATATGATACAATATCAGTACTTGTTTCATTACAACTTGTCTAAGTCACATCATCAACTGATTTCAGCCAGTGTATGGCTGTGGACTGACTGCATTGCTTAAATGGAATGTTGGCATATTGGCAGTTAATTTGAGAAATGTATGTTATCATTCCCAGTGTTGCCAACTTAGTGACTTTGTCGCTATATTTAGCGCATTTTCAGACCCCTCCAGTAACATTTATTGGTATAAGATTCTAGCAACAAATTCAGTTACTTTTCAGGCTGCTTTGGGGAGTTTTGACAGAGGGTTTCTATGGTTTTGATAGCATTTTGCTACATTTCCCACTCAATTCTGCTGCAAACGAGAGTGGGAGAAGCTGTCTGTGCAACAGAAGTCACAGCATCAGCACGCACACAGGCAGAGAAGCACAAGGGGAGGGGGTGTTCGGTGGGAGAGGGGGGCGAAAACGCGCAGCAGGGCAAATTGGTGGTGTGACGTCGTCGTGGAAACTACAAAACGTCATCTAGCGACTTCTAGCGACAAATCAAGAAGCCAATAGCGGATCTCACAGAAACATTGTTGGCTACACTGATCATTCCTCTAAAACTGGCTGGCTACAGCTAGCTAACAAACAGTGCAGATAATCTTCAAATTCATTGTTTTACACAATATATTATCACATCACTGGCAAACAAACCATGGTTGACCAACTCCCTTACCAAAATGGCTGACCTTTTAGAGCATCATATGGTTCATGCCCATTCTAGTATTCTAATTCGTAATTCTATAGATAGGTCTCCCAAATGACTAATGTACTTGCCTTATGAATACCTACATAAGTAGTCTAAGGACCTGGTGAAGCACATAAACTAGCTATAAACTAGACAGCAACAATACATTGCCTCTGTTTTGAATAGCAATTTTTGAAAACCCCAATAACAGCCAGATTATTTCTAGCCTGATGGCTGGAGACATACACTACATGTCCAAAAGTATGTGGACACCTACTCGTCAAACATTTCATTCCAAAATCATGGGCATTAATATGGAGTTGGTCCCACTCTTTGCTGCTATAACAGCCTCCACTCTTCTGGGAAGGCTTTCCACTAGATGTTGGAACATTGCTACGGGGACTTGTTTCCATTCAGTCGCAAGAGCATTAGTGAGGTCGGGCGCCGATGTTGGGCGATTAGGCCTGGCTCGCAGTCTGCGTTCCAAGTCTGCGTGGTCCTCTGTAGCTCAGCTGGTAGAGCACGGCGCTTGTAACGCCAAGGTAGTGGGTTCGATCCCCGGGACCACCCATACACAAAAAAAAAAAAATACATGTATGCACGCATGACTGTAAGTTGCTTTGGATAAAAGCGTCTGCTAAATGGCATATTATTATTATTATAATTGGTCCCAAAGGTGTCCGATGGCGTTGAGGTCAGGGCTCTGTGCAGGCCAGTCATGCTGAAACAGGAAAGGGCCTTCCCCAGACTGTTTCCACAAAGTTGGAAGCACAGAATCGTCTACAATGTCATTGTATGCTGTAACGTTAAGATTTCCCTTCACTGGAACTAAGGAGCCAGAACCATAACAAACAGCCTCAGACCATTATTCCTCCTCCACCAAACTTTACAGTTGGCACTATGCCAATTCGGGCAAGTAGTGTTTTCCTGCCATCTGCCAAACCCAGATTCGTCTGTCGGACTGCCAGATTGTGAAGCGTGATTCATCACTGCAGAGAATGCGTTCCCACTGCTCCAGAGTCCAACGGCGGCGAGCTTTACACCACTCCAGCCGAAGCTTGGCAATGCACATGGTGATCTTAGGCTTGTGTGCGGCTGCTCGGCCATGGAAACCCATTTCATGAAGCTACCAACGAACAGTTATTGTGCTGACGTTGCTTCCAGAGGCAGTTTGGAACTCGGTAGTGAGTGTAGCAACTGAGGACAGATGATTTGTACGTGCTACGGGCTTCAGCACTCGGCGGTCCCGTTCTGTGAGCTTGTGTGGCCTACCACTTTGTGACTGAGCCGTTGTTGCTCCTAGACGTTTCCACTTCACAATAACAGCACTTACAGTTGACCGGGGAAGATCTAGCAGGGCAGAAATTTGACGAACTGACTGGTTGGAAAGGTGGCATCCTATGACAGTGCCACGTTTAAAGTAACTGAACTCTTCAGTAAGGCCATTCTCCTGCCAATGTTTGTCTGTGGAGATTGCATGGCTGTGTGCTCGATTTTATACACCTGTCAGCAACGGGTTTGGCTGAAATAGCCGAATCCACTTATTTAAAGGGTTGTCAACATACATGATGTATGAAGCAACACGCAACAATTTCAACGATTTTACTAAGTTATAGTTCATATAAGGAAATCAGTCAACTGAAATAAATTAATTAGTCCCTAATCTATGGATTTCACATGACTGGACAGGAGCGCAGCCATAGGAGGGCCTGAGAGGGCATTTGCCCACACACTGGAGAGCCAGGCCCAGCCTATAAGACAGAGTTTTTCCCCACAAAAGGGCTTTATTACAGACAGAAATACTCCTCAGTTTCATCAGCTGTCTGGCTGGCTGGTCTCAGATGATCCCGCAGGTGAAGAAGCCGGATGTGGAGGTCCTGTGCTGGCGTGGTTACACGTGGTCTGCTGTTGTGAGGCTGGTTGGACGTTCTGCCAAATTCTCTAAAACGATGTTGGAGGTGGCTTATGGTAGAGAAATGAACATTACATTCTCTGGCAACAGCTCTGGTGGATATTCCTGGAGTCAGCATATCAATTGCACACTCCCTCAAAACTTGAGCCATCTGTGGCATTGTGTTGCGTGACAAAACTGCACATTTTAGATTGGCCTTTTATTTTCCCCAGCACAAGGTGCATCTGTGTAATGATCATGCTTTTTAATCAGCTTCTTGATATGCCACACCTGTCAGGTGGATGGATTATCTTGGCAAATGAGGAATCCTCACTAACAGGGATGTAAACAAGCTTTTTGTGCATATGGAACATTTCTGGTATCTTTTATTTCAGCTCTTGAAACATGGAACCAACACATTGCATGTTGCGTTTATATTTTTGTTCAGTATAGATAGAAGCTCTGAGGATTTGCCGACAGATATGAAGACTGTTTAGAGCGAGAGAGAAAGAGAGAGACAGACAGACAGACATAAGTGAGAGATGGGGAACATTACCTTCTTGAGCCCACAGTCAAAAATATCTGGGCGGCTGATGTCGAAACAGAGGAGCACCGCGTCAGAGTCGCTGTAACAGAGAGGCCTAACGTTGTCGTAGTAGGGAGAACCTAGAGGAGAGGACAGACACTTGTTAACAGGGGTCCAAGACAACATGAAGAAGTAGACTGTTTTCTTTTAGAAATATAATGCAGAAAGGAGACATCATAAGTAATAGAAGAAACAACCTGTAGTTGGGTGAGTAGAGAGAGAGAGAGAGAGAGAGAGAAAGATAGAAAGAGAGTGTGTGTGAGAGAAAGAAACAGACAGAGCGAGACAGACATAGAGAGAGAGAGACATAGAGAGAGAGAGACATAGAGAGAGAGACATAGAGAGAGAGAGAGACATAGAGAGAGAGAGACATAGAGAGAGAGACATAGAGAGAGAGAGAGACAGAGAGAGAGAGACATAGAGAGAGAGAGACATAGAGAGAGAGAGAGAAGAGAGAGGCATAGAGAGAGACAAGGAGAGGCATAGAGAGAGAGGCACAGAGAGAGAGAGGCACAGAGAGAGAGGCACAGAGAGAGAGAGAGACACAGAAAGAGACACAGAGAGAGAGACATAGAGAGAGACATAGAGAGAGAGACATAGAGAGAGAGAGACATAGAGAGAGAGAGGAGACCATAGAGAGAGAGATACATAGAGAGAGAGACAGACATAGAGAGACAGAGAGAGCGAGAGAATGAGAGAGAGAGACATAGAGAGAGAGAGACATAGAGAGAGAGAGACATAGAGAGAGAGAGAGACATAGAGAGAGAGAGAGACATAGAGAGAGAGATACATAGAGAGAGAGACAGACATAGAGAGAGAGACAGAGAGAGAGAGAGACATAGAGAGAGAGACATAGAGAGAGAGACATAGAGTGAGAGAGACATAGAGAGAGAGACATAGAGAGAGAGACATAGAGAGAGAGACATAGAGAGAGAGAGACAGAGAGAGACATAGAGAGAGAGAGACATAGAGCGAGAGAGACATATAGAGAGAGAGACATAGAGAGAGAGAGACATAGAGAGAGACATAGAGAGAGACATAGAGAGAGACATAGAGAGAACAGAGACCAGGGATTATCTCGGAGGGATATCACTTCTCATACTGAGCTGAGACGTACTTTGCCTTTCCTCTCTCTTTTCCCTGTCATCCTCTCCCCTATTGGTCTTTCAGAGGGGGAGATGAGGACAACCAAGGCACTAAATCCACAATGATCTTTTTTAGCAGTGGATTAGGCAAGTGGAACAGAACAGTGAGGCTGGTTGGGGGCAGCAGAGCAGGCAGATGCTCCTACTCCTGTGCTTGGAATCCTTAAGCAACTACTCCCCCCTCTCTCTCTCTCCCCTCTAAACGCCCCCTTGTCCTCCCCCCACTCAACACAGAGCAATACCTCCAGTCCCTCTGCCGTTACCACAGCAACAGCCTTGGAATTCTCCATCTGCATAAAGCATTCCTCCCACCCCTCCTTAAAGGCTGGCCGCAACTGCCAATCAATCATTTTACACATCCCGCAAACACACTGCTGTGTCTTACTGCCCACCCACCTACCCTGCTTCTTGCTCTACACATTCCTCTGTTAAAACAATGTTGGGGCACACACACATGCATGAAAACGTCTGCACACACGTATGAGGGCACACACACACACCACGCACACACACACACACCCCTTGGTTACTTGAGTCTCCTCTCTCTCGTTCACTTTGTTTATCGGTTATATTTGGCATCAGTGAAAGGTGATTCTCATTTCTTAGTCTAATCAAAGGGAAAATGAGAGGCTCGAAGGGATAATGTTGTTAACTCTGATTACATAGGACTTCCAATTGCTATCTAATGGGTATAATCTATCTACATTTCCCTTTATGGCTATATATACCACACTAGACGATGACGTCACCGTTCATTACATATTACATATATCCAAGCTAATTTATTTACAATGTGATGTACAGAACAACACAGAAAAGGATACGGTACCACCGCCTCCAAAAGAGCACAAAGAACATGGGTGTGTCTTCATATAGACCAGGCCATAAATAGTTAATGATTCTCCACATTATCAAAGGATAGAATTGAATTAGCCAGCTGCTGTGAGACGGGTTTGAAATAATGACAAGCTGTGGTAGAATATCTGAGTAGTTTGACGTTTTGAACGTCAACAGTGTAGCTTCTGTAGAGGAACAATAGGACTAGCTTGTTGCTTCACGAAACACTTCAGTCTGTATCTAAGAGTGTTGTGCCAGTAACCGAAAGGTCGCTGGTTCTAATCCCCGAGCCGACTAGGTGAAAAATCTGTCGATGTGCCCTTGAGCAAGGCACTTAACCCTAATTGCTCCTGTAAGTCGCTCTGGATAAGAGCGTCTGCTAAATGACTAAAAATGTTTAAAAAAATATGCCTTTAGAAATGACTACAGCTTTCATCTTAAGGATGTTTTCTCAGCTCACTCCTGACCATTGAGTGATGGAGAGCATGTACTTTGAACTACCTGAACAATATCAAACAGATCATACTCATCAACTTCTGCTGTTTTTACACAGGAGGTAACACAGTCCATCAACCCTCTTTGTTTAGTTCAAGTTTCAAGTCGTATGTACAGGAGAAACATGGTATACAGTACTGTCCAACGAAATGCTTACTTGCAGGTTCCTTCTCGACAATGCAACAACAATAATAAATAATAAAAGATAAGAATACGAACATAAAGTAAATAGATCAGTAGAATAGAATAAACATTTTAGCATCAGTATAATACAGGAAGCACAATTTATAGTGCAATATTTACACATGTTTTGGGGAAGGGGGGCAAGTGTTTAAATTTTGCAGTATTTAGCAATCATAATAAGAGTCTGGTAGCAGTAGTTGTGATGTGTGTAGTATGAATGTATGTGTGTGTGTGTGTGTGTGTGTGTGCATGTAGTATGAATGTGTGTGTGTGTGTGTCATAAATATAGATATTACATTATCATTACTATATTATAACTTACATTATGGCATTAAGAAACAGTCAGACACACTAATAATATCGGACCAATTAATTAAGGCAGTTCAAAGGCAGGGAAGAAGGCCGACTATCATTATCATGATCAGTGTGTCCGTCAGCTTCTGCATGGAGGTGGCTAGCATCCCTCTGCCTCCCAGGGAAGATTAAGAGGTGAGTGTGTGTGTGCGTGTGCGTGTGTGTGCGAGGCGTGGGTGTGTGTCTCCCAAATGGTCGGGGAAGAGAAGGGCAGTCACGGACCGGGGAGCCCAGGGTGTGACTCTGCATTAAATGGCCACTGATTTAAATGCAGAGATCGATGGACATGATGCAAACAGGGGGCTGGGGAGCCATTTCAATTAAATATGGACACATTACTCAGGAGAAGAGGGATGAGCGAGGGGGGGAAAGGGAGGGGGAGGAAGGACCTGCTGTTATGACCAACTGGGGTTTGAACCCAGGTCTCTTGTATGTAGCAAGACTGTGTTAGCCGCTGAGCTATAGCCTAGGTATCCTGTTCCCCAGTAGCTGGAGGAGGGAGGGAGAGAGGGAGGGAGGGAGGGAGGGAGAGAAGGAGAGAGAGGAAGGAGGAGAGGGAGGGAGGGAGGGAGGGAGGGAGGGAGGGAGGGAGGGAGGGAGGGAGGGAGGGAGGGAGGGAGGGAGGGAGTAAAGGAAGGGAGGGAGGGAGAGGAAGGAGGAGAGGGAGGGAGGGTGTCAGATCACAGTGAGGCCTCCACTACCATTAATCCTTCACAGAAGAGGCACTTTTCCTCCCCTCTCTTACCACAGCCATACAACACACTACACAGTGGAGCTATCCACTCAGGCTCACAACGCCACAGCCATACAACACACTGTACAGTGGAGCTCTCAGGTTGTCTTATTTTTGCACATCTCAGAAGATTGCAATATATGTATGTTGTTTCTGAGATGGTCAACTTTTCTCCAGGCGTTGTGAGAGAGCTGACCCACCACTGACAGCAGAGCTCCTAACTATGAGCCACATGTTCTCTCTCTCAACCTCACTTTCCTCTCCTCCACTCTGCTCCTCCCTCTTTCCTTGCTACAAATGGAGACGTTCTGTTGCATGAATCATAGATGGGGAGGATTCAGTAGAAAGAAAAAAATAGAAAAACTAAAACGGCATCAACATTCCTATCATGGCTAGGCCTGAACTCAATCATTACTAACGCCTGCAGCGGTGTGTCGAGGTGGAAAGTGGACCAGTAGTGTGGAAGTGGGATGGAGGGATACTGGAATTGGAGATAAGAAGAGGAGAGGAGGACAGGACTGTTCCAATATCCACACTAGCCTTCTATGAAGCAATGCATTGGGCATCCATTCTAAAAGGTACACTAGTGTGAATATTTGGATGTTGAATAGCACATACAGGTGGGGGAGGGGCAGAGACGCAGTCTACTTTGGGGTGTATTATATTAATCAAGGAGTGAGTGCCTTCATGGTTATGCCTAATAATCCACATCATTAACCTACAATTCATTTAGAAAGAGGAAAGGAGGGTATTCCTAAAGTCAGTCAGATTAATGATGCAGACGGAGAGCTGGCATGACTCACTGGGTTTTGGGATGTAACTATCCTGTCATATCCACCCCTTAGGGCTGCAGTCTGCTGGGCTGATAACTATCTCACAGCAACAAAACAACACATGCCCATCCATTAGGATGTTACCACTACTGCTGGTCTAAAAATTAACCAAGAGGACAGTGAGGTTAGAGGTCAGAGGTTACTAAAGAGATGGACAGAAGGGGGAAAATATTAGTATCCACCCTGACACCATAGGATCAAGTCTTCACACATTTCAGAGTCAGGTTCAATTCCGTTTCAATTCAGTCAATTCCCCATCTAAACTGAAATTCCAATTCATTTTCAATGAGGAAAATTGCAATGGAATTCACCCAAACCCTGACTCATTCCCCATATCCTCTGCTTCCCTATGAATGTGTTATAATACAGCAATGGAATATTTTCTATAATTTCTTAATGATGTTGGAATGTTTTACTAGCATAATGCAGATCGTCTCATCAGCTAAATGTCTGTGTACTGTAATATAGATGCATATGTCAATGTAATGTATGTTTCATACAGGCTAGCCTAATCATCTTATAATATATCTTGACAATACAAAGCCTGGTATCAGAAAGTGCATTTAAAAGACCCTCAATCACTCTGAAACAATCTAACACCGTAGATCCTAAGTTACTCTTCATGAGTTACAGCCACTGTGTGTGTGTGTGTGTGTGTGTGTGTGTGTGTGTGTATGTGTGTGTGTGTGTGTATGTGTGGTGCTAAATGTCAGGCAGACCCAGTCCCTCCTACACCCCTCTCTCTCTCTTGCATGTTAAACGGGCTAGCGTACTGATTAAAACCAGTGGATTGATTTTAGCCAGTAAATCCCAGAGAACCATCGGAGAGAGCTGCCACGAAACCCAATGATGAGATCAGTCCAATCAATGGAGAGGAGCTTCACTAATGAGGAGAGACTCAGAGAATCAGGCTAGCATAGAAACATCATTATTAGAACAGGCATTCCTATTCAAGTCAATTGAATGGTTGTCCTTTCTAGTAATTATTATTCTATGGCCACAGCAGCAGCAGTAGAGCTCATACAATTAGAACATATTACAGTTATGGGGACACTCTGTGGCATGCATGAGGCATGATGAACATCAGTTAGGCAGAACTGCCTGTCACGACCATGACCATACAGTATGTTAGATATCTGGTGGACGTTATGTTTTCAATATAGACACTGGACAAAGAAGAGGGGGATAGAGAGAGAAAGAGGGGGAGAGCAAGGGTGAGAGAGCGAGAGAGAGAGCGAGAGCGAGAGCGAGAGCAAGAGAGAGAGAGAGAGAGAGAGAGAGAGAGAGAGAGAGAGAGAGAGAGAGAGAACAGAGGGAGAGGGTAGGTCATTTTCTTAGTGTAAGCCGTTGGGGGGGTTCTACTAAGCTAACATATGGAATTGTTTTAACATGTTCATACCATGGATCATTTAGCTATTACATTTTTGTAGGTATAAAAAAATATGTTAAATAATTATTTACTACTATAGCCCATAGAAACGCATTGAATAACACATTCATAAAGGGCAAAAAAGACAGTCAAAAAATAAATCATAAGGAATAAGGTTATGAAGTGTCTGTCCTATATCTAGGAGATAGGGACACATATTTAACCCCTTATTTTTGTTGCCACAAAACTACCTCCATACTTCCATTGATTTGTTTGAATTGCCTTCAGCCGACCCGGAGGACACCATCATGTTCGTGAAAGTCTCATCTATCCATAGAGTGGTCATATTAATAAGTAGGACAAACCATTCGGACACCGATTTTTGGTTTGTCTCCTGGTCTGACAAACAGTGCTGTCCCTCTGCCACTTTCCACCGCAGATGCGGAAAGGTGACATAGGAGGATGCGGTGGATTGAGACGCAGCCCATGCAGATATCTCTAGCTTAAACTGACGGATTTTGATGGGGATTTTTTTATTATGTTTATTATGCACGGGTGCGTCAATAGACTCTTAAGGATTAATTAGGATTTTGGCAGGCATTTTAAAAGGGGGACTTGATGTGCAGTAGCACCTTAGAATAGTTTTGAAAGTCACTTTAGCCATGATTTCAGTGTTTGGGTGATTGAAATGTAGATCATAGGCTACTACATAACTACCGTATCTCATTGAGTTTCTCATCTGCTCCAAAAACCCTCTGATACCTCCCTCTGCCAAATCCACTGGCTCTTCCCACTAACACCTCCCTCCTTCTGCCCTCTGCCCATCAACGGGCACTGTGCCACAGTCCGACCAATCAGATCAGAGGCCAGGGCTCGGATTAAAAAAGAGCCAGAGATTTGCACTGAAACAAATTACATTTACTATTTTTACGTTTCATTCTGCTCATGGGGGTCATGCAGTGGACGACGATGGCGGTGGTAAACATTACTTTATATAGGCTCCAAGTGGGTCTCTTATATAAAGGATTGACAATATCCACTATGAATGCAGCCAAAGGGTACCAATACATATTAATAATCACAGGCTCAGCCATACTGACATACTGTAGCCGACAGACACATATCTAGAGTAGGGTATCTGAGTATGGAATGAGATATAAGCTATAGGTTGATCATCATGATGTATGTAAATAATATCAAGGTAACATGAAGGTGTTACAGTATGCTGACGGCCAAACCATACTGATTCTACTAATAATAACCCATCCTGACCCACTGTAGCTAACACATATCTAGAGTAGCCTACAGTGGTATCTGTATATCTAGCGTAGCCTACAGTGGTATCTGTATATTTAGCGTAGCCTACAGTGGTATCTGTATATCTAGCGCAGCCTACAGTGGTATCTGTATATCTAGCGTAGCCTACAGTGGTATCTGTATATCTAGCGCAGCCTACAGTGGTATCTGTATATCTAGCGTAGCCTACAGTGGTATCTGTATATTTAGCGTAGCCTACAGTGGTATCTGTATATCTAGCGCAGCCTACAGTGGTATCTGTATATTTAGCGCAGCCTACAGTGGTATCTGTATATTTAGTGTGGGGGAATATAGAATGAGATCTGTGTATAGAATGAGATCTAGGTACTGTATCTAGGCTAGATGTGATGGGATATGAACAGGTGCAGCTTGGCAGGGCAGATCCAGGTTATCAGTTAGTCGGTTGTTTTCAGGTCAGTGGTTTTACAGTGGAGGGCCCTGGGGAGGTTCTACACCGACACCATGACCCTATGCTACAGTGTAGTTAGCATAATAACATAATGTAGGCTACAGGGTACACTACTCAGTTAGCACAACATATAGTGGGGCAGGCTATAGTGTCAGTAAGCTAGCACAACATTCAGTAGGCCAGTGGTTTTCAAACCTCTCCTCGGGACCCCCAGACGTTTAAATATTTAGTTGTAACCCTGAACTCGCTCACTTGATTCACCTAATCAATGTATGATTAGTTGAGAATTTAAATCAGGTTTGCTAGCTCTGGAATAGTTCAATTACATGGAAAGGATGGGGGTCCCCAGGGGAGAAGTTTTGAAAACCCATGCTGTAGGCTAGTGTCAGTAGGCTACACGACCAGGATTCTATGACGTCGTACACACTACACATACATCAATATTGTGCAGCCACATAATAAGACTGGATGTGCTGTGCTTTCAGGCGTTGCTATGATATAGTAAGTCATGTCAGTAATGCATCAATGTTTAACACAGTCAAACGAAAGAGCTAAGGCCGGTCTGAGAGTGAATACTTTAGACCACTGTGACGCAGGTCATATAGCGGATGAGATAGAGGATATACATTTACATTTTAGTCATTTAGCAGACGCTCTTATCCAGAGCGACTTACATGGTTTATGGTTACGTGCCTTGCTCAAGGGCACATCGAAAGATGTTTCACCTAGTCGGCTCGGGGATTAGAACCAGCGACCTTTCGGTTACTGGCACAGAGGAGGGATGAAATAGGATGAAGGATGTTGTTACCTGATGTGTCCCACAGACTGAGCTCCACACGCTGTTCCTCCAGTTCCAGACACGCTGTGTAGTTCTCAAACACCGTGGGCACATAGGTCTAAGCAGAGAAGCAACATAACCCGTCTGTCAATATCCCTGCTACTACTGATGGAATTTATCATTTCATAATTAGGACCTACATGAAAGGAAGCTTTCTAATGTGAAAATAGTACAAATTAGCAATTATGCAGTAAATGCTTTATGTCCCTATGTGCATGGAATATAGAAAAGTGGAAAAAGTGAACTAATGAAAAATTTAAATGAATGATTTTTTTTGTTGCATTATTATATATGGTTTATAAAAGAAAATTCAATGTGATGTGATGATCAGAAGCCTACAGTAGAAAAGTTGATATAATCCAATGTGAAAACTGAATTCTTGGAAATGCGCATCATGTAGCAGCTATAGGCAGCCTCTAGCTGAAGCGGATGGTGCACTATTAGAAATGAATCCATCATCAGTTAGCATATATTCCTAACTTTCCAAAAACATTTATTAGGCTCATCAAATCCACAGAGGCATGTACTAACTCAATATGGATGCTCTGCAGAACATATATGATTTGCATCTTAAAATGTCAGTATTGCAACGTGAGAACAAATATTCGCATACCTCTGGATAACAATCCTTCGCGAGGACTTGCAAAATCGCCGTTTTTCCGCATTGAACATCGCCAACCAGAACCAGTTTACATCTCACCACCAACGGCTGCGTATTTCTCCTTTCCTTCATATTTGTAACAGTAAAAAACAAAAGACTTAAAAGAAAATGGGTAAAACGCGAAACCCCGAAGAAAAACGGTCCTCCGTCACTTAAGAGCACTGTAGCACTGTTGATTACTACTAATCGGATGCCTGCAGTTGATGTGAGAAAAAGAGGCAACACTGCGGCTCTTTATACTGAGCTCACAGCCAATGTGTGCGCGCGTGGTTTTCCTGAATTTCTAGCATTACTTTCACTGCCCCAAGGTTCTATTCTCCCCGATGACTCAAATTAAATTGGTTCTTTATCCTTATAAACAATCCTATGATGGATTGTTATAGAAAAGGTACCTAAAACCAATAGAATAATCTACATAAAATTATTATTACTTTGGTTATGCACAAGACAGTACAACTTAATTGTAGTCTTTTCTCTAGGGCCTAGACTAGAGTCAATTAGGCAATGCCTGTGGTGTAGAGATCCAAGTCAAACACAAATATGTAACAAACAATAAAGATTACCTTTGTAACTAACCATTAACCTCATTATTTCCAATGGCAGTTCTTTTAACATATTTTTCGATTTGCCTTTCAATACACTCAAAAAGCGACAGTATTAGTATGTTGGTCACTCGTTAAATCAAGTTGGTCTGTTATTCCTCAGGACATACTGTAGTGTGATCTGTTGCTCTAGGACTTTGCTGCCACAAATTAAATCATTAGATGGACTTAACTCTGCTAGATCAACAGATCAATAGGCACCACAATAGAGTCAGCAGACCCTTTCCACTGTTAGATAATTAGTCTGCTTTCATCAGCACCACAGGCTCGAATTACTGGGTAGAGTCTGTCTCAGGCCAAGCTCAATCTAATTTGTCTGGAGAAATATGACAGTAATTACATTTTCAAAGTATTCTAAGCAGTAATGTAATTAACAAACCATCATCATCTTTTTATAGATATTCTTTCAAAAAGTAGTTTGAGCTCCGATTCTTGATTTCTCATCCATCTATTTAACTGTAGTGGTCAACTTCACAAAGGAAATAGCTAATAAGAAAAAACTGTTAGGTTAGTCACGATGATCTGTTGACTCTTCCCAATACTATCGACCCGTAGTACTCCCTTTTGTCATCATGAAGTGCTTTGAGAGGCTAGTTAAGGACCATATCACCTCCACCTTACCCGACACCCTATATCGCCCCAATGATTGACTTCCACAGAGAGTCACAGCATGTCTCACAGTCCCACCAGAGGACGCAATCACCATTGCACTGCACACTGCCTTATCCCACCTGGACAAGAGAAATACCTATGTAAGAATGTTGTTCATCGACTACAGCTCAGCCTTCAACACCATTGTGCCCTCCAAGCTCATCACTAAGCTCAGGGCCCTGGGTCTGAACCTCTCCCTGTATAACTGGGTCCTGGAATTCCTGACGGACCGACCCCAAGTGGTGAAGGTAGGCAACAACACCTCCGTCACGCTGATCCTCAACACAGGGGACAGGGGTCCGTGCTCAGCCCCCTCCTGTACTCCCTGTTCACCCATGACTGCGTGGCCACGCACATCTCCAACTCAATCATCAAGTTTTCTGACGACACAATAGTGGTAGGCCTGATTACCAACAACAATAAGACAGCCTACAGGGAGGAGGTTAGAGCCCTGGCGGAGTGGTGCCAGGAAAATAACCTCTCCCTCAACGTCAACCAAGCGAAGGAGCTGATCTGGGACTTTAGGAAACAGCAGAGAGAGCACGCCCCATCCACATCGACGAGGACGCAGTGGAGCGGGTCAAAAGCTTCAAGTTCCTCGGCGTGCACATCACTGACAACCTGAAATGGTCCCTTCACACAGACAGCGTGGTGAAGAAGGCGCAACAGCACCTCTTCAACCTCAGGAGGCTGAAGAAATTTGGCTTGGCCCTTAAGAACCTCACAACCTTCTACAGCTGCACAATTGAGAGCATCCTGTCGGGCTGTATCACCGCCTGGTACGGCAATTGCACCGTCTGCAACTGCAGGGCTCTCCAGAGGGTGGTGCGGTCAGCCCACCGCATCTCTGGGTGATGCCCACCAGGACATCTACAGCACCCAGTGTCACAGGAAGGCCAAGAAGATCATCAAGGACCTCAGCCACCCGAGCCAAGGCCTGTTCACCCCGCCACCATCTAGAAGGTCTAGACAGTATAGGTGCATCAAAGCCAGGACCAAGAGACTGTTAAACAGTCACCACTAGCCTTAGTCACTGTTTTGGCCGGCTACCACCCCATACTCTACCCTGCACCTTAAAGCCTGCTGCCCTGTGTACATAGAGTCATTGAACACTGGTCACATTAATAATGTTTACATACTGTTTTACCCACTTTATATGTACGTATATACTGTATTCTAGTCATTGAACACTGGTCCCTTTAATGATGTTTACATACAAAACACAACTTTATATGTATATACACTGCTCAAAAAAATAAAGGGAACACTTAAACAACACAATGTAACTCCAAGTCAATCACACTTCTGTGAAATCAACTGTCCACTTAGGAAGCAACACTGATTGACAATACATTTCACATGCTGTTGTGCAAATGGAATAGACAACAGGTGGAAATTATAGGCAATTAGCAAGACACCCCCAATAAAGGAGTGGTTCTGCAGGTGGTGACCACAGACCACTTCTCAGTTCCTATGCTTCCTGGCTGATGTTTTGGTCACTTTTGAATGCTGGCGGTGCTTTCACTCTAGTGGTAGCATGAGATGGAGTCTACAACCCACACAAGTGGCTCAGGTTGTGCAGCTCATCCAGGATGGCACATCAATGCGAGCTGTGGCAAGAAGGTTTGCTGTGTCTGTCAGCGTAGTGTCCAGAGCATGGAGGCGCTACCAGGAGACAGGCCAGTACATCAGGAGACGTGGAGGAGGCCATAGGAGGGCAACAACCCAGCAGCAGTTCCTGCAATGCAAGACAATGCTAGACCTCATGTGGCTGGAGTGTGTCAGCAGTTCCTGCAAGAGGAAGGCATTGATGCTATGGACTGGCCCGCCCGTTCCCCAGACCTGAATCCAATTGAGCACATCTGGGACATCATGTCTCGCTCCATCCACCAACGCCACGTTGCACCACAGACTGTCCAGGAGTTGGCGGATGCTTTAGTCCAGGTCTGGGAGGAGATCCCTCAGGAGACCATCCGCCACCTCATCAGGAGCATGCCCAGGCGTTGTAGGGAGGTCATACAGGCACGTGGAGGCCACACACACTACTGAGCCTCATTTTGACTTGTTTTAAGGACATTACATCAAAGTTGGATCAGCCTGTAGTGTGGTTTTCCACTTTAATTTTGAGTGTGACTCCAAATCCAGACCTCCATGGGTTGATAAATTTGATTTCCATTGATAATTTTTGTGTGATTTTGTTGTCAGCACATTCAACTATGTAAAGAAAAAAAGTATTTTATAAGATTATTTCATTCATTCAGATCTAGGATGTGTTGTTTTAGTGTTCCCTTTAGTTTTTTGAGCAGTGTATATTTATTCTGGTCTCTGATATTTTCTTATTTTTATTTGTTTTTCTTGTTTATGTGTGTATTGTTTTTAAAATTATTACTAGGTATTACTGCACTGTTGGAACTAGAAAGAAAAGCATTTCGTGGCACCTGCAAATCTGTGTATGCGACCAACAAAATTTGATTTGATTTGATTGAATAGATGCAATTTGCATTGACTCTTCCCAATTTGCATTGAAGCCCTATGATCTCGGGGATGTATATCATGGGGTGTTGTGATCCAAAAGTATTGTTTGTCTATTGCCTGCAAATCATGTTGAATTTCACAAGTCAGATCTAATTGAGCTCAACACCTCAAAACCTCATAGCTTTATCTCAATTACCCATACCCATGGGAAACCGGCCCTTAGAATGTCCCAGTTTAATCTTACAAATACATAGATGAAAAAGTATTGATTTCACCTATCAATTGATTCATGATTAGCAAAGGACAATTGTCTGTATTCAGAATGTTGGTTTGGTACACAGAGGTGTATCCCATGCTGTTTGAATGTCTCAGCAGATAGTTGAGATATAGTGAGAGAGGCTATAGGAGCAATGACCCATGTCTGTATTCAGGATGTTGGTAGTGTATTCCGTGCTGTTTGAGCCAATCAGCAGATGTAAATTATTTGAGATAGTGAGATAAATAAGGGTCTGTTTGAAAGGGGGTCATATAAACATTGCCATATATTTTTTACAGGGAACATACAACATCTTCTGGCAGAAATGGGCAATAGAGAGATAGTGAGATGATCACAGAAGTGTATTCCATGCTATTAGAGTGGATGAGCAGAGAAAATATTAGAGAAATAGTGAGACAGTGAGAGAGGCTTTAGGACGGAGCCAAGACCCCCTGCAGGGGACCAGATGCCGCCAGGAGTCGAGTCAGAAGTTACACCTCTAATCATCCAGAGAGACAGACGTTACATTTCACACCTCAAGGTTACTGTATGTAAAGTGGTCTTAACACAACAAACTGGACATTAAAAGACAAAAGTCAATTCATATAACCCTCCTCCTTAGTGGCTAGATGTGACCGACCGGGGGTTCAAATCCATGTCTACTGCCTGTCTCTGCTACAAGACTGTGTTAGCCCAGTGAACTAAAGCCTAGGGCTAGGCATTAGCTTGGGGAGCTAGCGCAAGTCTTCAGCCATGTCTTTCAGGCTAGGTTACTCATCACCACCTCTGAACCACCTCCGTCACAGCTAGCTAAATTAACTTATCTGTCAACCTCAACCAATCATTCCCCTCTTAGTTTTATGGCTCTAGTGGGTCAAAGCAATCTGACGTTTGTTTGAATTTGTCAGCCCAATACATCTTGTTTCCCTCAAACACAGCTCTTATTGTAGGTTTACCCCATGGCCTGTCAACTCACTGGAAGACAAGTAGCAAACGCTGAGTGAAATATATAAATAGGGACAAGGTAGGTATCCCTCGTCATGATTGTTGCACGTCATTTGTTATGACACAGTCATATCTGAAAATATGGGAGGGAGGGAGGGAGAGAGAGAGAGAGAGCGAGATAGGGAGGGAGGGAGGGAGGGAGGGAGAGCAAGGCAGGCAGGCAGGGAGAGGGAGGCAGTTGGCAGGAAGGCAGTCAGGGAGGGAGGGAGGGAGGGAGGGAGGGAGGGAGGGAGAGACAGGCAAGCAAGCAACCAAG